ATACATGAGGCAATGTTTACTTCTTTTTAAAGACAATCTATCTGTACAAAAAGTAATATCTACAAAATATATTTAAATTATCTTTTTTAATTAATAAAAACAATCTTATTGAATAGTTTAAGAAGTTACAATATCAACATTTTAGAGGTCATGGAGCATTAGGATGATTGTCTTTAATTATAATCTTTCTTGGAAATCCTGCACATACATAGGAAAAAACTCTAAACTTGGCAGGGTCATATCTTCTAAAGTAGACTTAAAACCCTCATAAAAATTTTTGAACTTGAGCAGGCATTGTAGATTTTAAACTAAAAATGATATGAAAATTGAAGAGGGCGTATTTTTGATAGACCAACCGTATGCTACATAGGTGAAAAGTTGTTGATTTTGGGGTCATGTATTTGGGTGAGTAAAATTTTCTATCAAGTGTAGGCTTGAAATAGTTAAATATTTGGATTTTACACTTCTTATTTGCCCTACATACCAAATTTCAGAAATATTGAAGGTATAGAAGTATTTTTCTTTGATTTTTAAGAAACACTGAGATTTGGCGACATTGCACAGCCTTAATTTAGAGGCAAAATAGGAAAATTATACACACACCCCCTTTGAAATTGGAACGGTAAAGTCTAGCACAAAATAATTTGGTGCACTTTCCTAACTCATGAAGGGGCACATTTGTGCCAAATTTCAAGTAATTTGGTGTTGGTGAATGTAATGCCCTGGTGAATTGACATGGAATGACCCTTACAAGACTCTTAGATACAATGTGTTACCATGGCTCAAATCCAACTACTCAGATAGAAACTCTGAATGGACTCAGGATGGTGCTCCTGCCCATACAGCCAAAAAAGTACAGAATTTCTGCAAATCCGGGTGGAGAAGAGTAGGGCAAGATGTCCTCTGGTTTTTTGGAGAAGAGCTGTAGAAGTTTCAAGGGGCATGTGGAGGCAGTAATTGAAAAAAAGAAGGACATATCAAATAAAATGTTTCTTTCATTTTGTATTTGTATTTCTTTAAACTAATTAATAAAATATAAAACTTTTTATTTCAATACCAAAATTATGCAAGTTTTGTATCCCCACCCTGTATATAAAAGTTAGTACTCAATTAAACAGAGGTTTATCATATTACTTTGTTATTTAAACTTAATTTCCTAAAATGTCAAAATGCTAAATATCAAGAAAAATTCTTTTTAAATTATTTTTTTTTTAAATTCAAAATTTCTTTAAACAAAAACTTAATTGTTATTAACTTTGATCAAGCTTTGTGTTTAATCAAATTTTAATCAAAATGCAGAAATTGTAATTGGACCATAAATTTGTGCTGAAACCTGAAATGATTGTTATAATCTGTCATATTTTATTCTGAAATATTCAGTATAAACTTTGTGCTTTTTAAAAAAATTTTAAAATGTATTTTATGCATATATATGTAAATCAAACTATAATAACAATGATCTATATGGCTCATTCCGTGACAAATCAACAAGTGGTTAGACCATGTCCGACACGGATTTTTTTTCAAATTTGCTACACTTCTAGATCTCCATGAAAGGAATTGAATGGCACCTGTTACACATCTCAAGATCAAGAGGTTCCTGAGATATGACCTCTGACCTTTTTACGAAAATGTGAATAGTGACCAACTTTAAGTGATGATATCTCAGTTGTTTATGGACCTACAAAGTTCATTCATATCATTCTAAAGTACTTGGATAGATCTACAATTTTATCTGGGATTTTTTTTTTTTTTTTAGAGGTCAAATAAAAGTTGACCTTGACCTTTGATCTGACTTATCTCAAAAACCGTTATTTTGAATTTTGACAAAAGATTTGTCTATCTTATGACAGTATATATTCCAAATTTCATGATGGGCATTCCACTAGAACTGTTGTTACAAGCGTTTTTTTATAGGACTGGGCAAAATTCAAAATGGCGGAATGTAAAGCTATTTAATGCTACTTCATATAAAAAGCATTTTGATATTTCACAATATGGTCAAGTTGTATATCTTTGTAAAGCTATTTTAATGCTGATTAATATTCACATAAGGACCATGGTCATGAAATCAATAAAAAGATACTACATTCCGCCATTTTGAATTTTGCCCAGTCCTATAAAATGCTTGTAACAACAGTTCTAGTGGAATGCCCATCATGAAATTTGGAATATATACTGTCATAAGATAGACAAATCTTTTGTCAAAATTTAAAAAAATTTTAAATAACGGTTTTTGAGATAAGTCAGATCAAAGGTCAAGGTTAACTTTTTTATTTGACCTCTAAAAAAAAAAATTCCCAGATAAAATTGTAGCTCTATCCAAGTACTTTAGAATGATATGTGAATGAACTTTGTAGGTCCATAAACAACTGAGATATCATCTTTTAAAGTTGGTCACTATTCACATTTTAGTAAAAAGGTCAGAGGTCATATCTCAGGAACCCCTTGACCTTGAGATGTGTAACAGGTGCCATTCAATTCATTTCATGGAGATCTATAAGTGTAGCAAATTTGAAAAAATCCATGTCGGACATGGTATTTTGCCAGTCAGTTTTAACCTCTTCCTGTGTTACAAAAGCTGTTTCTTCCAAATGATTCTGTAAGCTACGAAACAAATGGTAGTCTGAAGGAGCAAGATTGGAAGAATAAGGTGGATGAGAAATTTTCTCCCAACCAAGTTCTTCGATCTTTTGTGACGTGATTCTTGCTGTATGGGGTTGCGCATTGTCCTGATGAAACATCACTCCTTTTCAATTCACTAGAGCAGGTCTTTTTTTCCTCGGAGCTTGGTTCAAACGCTTTAATTGCTGACAGTATATTTGAGCATTAATTGTTGCATTAGGTGGTAAGAATTCAAAATGGATTATTCCTCATGCATCCCACCAGATTGAAAGAAGAACCTTTTGCCCATGAAGTTCCCTTCTCAGCTGTGGCTGGGGTCCTTCCCTTTACTGCCACTGTCTATGACACTTAACATTTCAATAAAAGATCCATTTTTTGTTGCCAGTCACAAGTCTATTCAAAAAAGGTGAAACAAGTTGGCAAGAATGGAGGGAAGAGCAGATGTCAACTCGGGATTTAAGGTTGTTTTCAGACAATTCATGGGGCACCCATTTTCCAAGTTTAGGAACTTTTCCAAGTTGTTGAAGATAGTTTGAACTGAGAACTACTACCAATTCCTCAACTGATAAAGCAGGATTTTCTTCAAGGCCTGCTTCAAGAAACTTTTCATCAAACTCAACTGGACGTCCGGTTCAATCTTCATCTTCAAGGGTGAAATCTCCACATCTGAATTTTGCAAACCATCTTCTGCAAGTTCTTTCATTCACACATTCCTCTCCATAAACTGAGTGAATGTTTCTAGCCACTTCGGCTGATGAGTTTCCTTTCTTGAACTCATAAAGCATTATGTGCCCCAAATGATTCTTGGGTACTTCCATATTAGCAGGGTTTTAATCAAACAAAATTTAATTTTATTGTTCTCTGAAATAAAATTTGATAAGTTTAAATGCATCTAAACATAAAAATAATGTTCAGCTCCATTAGACATTATAAAATACTCTTTAAATTTTGTTCATTTTAACAAAAAGTTAAAATTCGGACAGAACTTATGGGATGACCTGATATTTTAAAATATTTAAAAAAATTTTTTAATCCTTCCTAGCATGTCCAAAATTATAGTTAAAAATCTTTTTTTTTCTAATTCTTTTTTGAGCCAGCAAAATTTACATAAAATCGATCATGTCATCCATTTTTGACAAATTTGTAAACAAAAGTGAAATTCTCCATTTAAAAATCTTGTAAAATTTGATTATGCTTTTTGTATGAAAATTAAAAAATTTAAAGTATACTTAGGTACCTTCATGAGATCACTAAAAACAGAGCATAGCAGGATGAAAAAGATGCCAAACTTGACAAAAACAAAATTTTATCATCTAAATGTTTGTTATTATTAAGAGGAAAAATCAAAGTATTTTGGGGGTATTTTTTTACATTTTTTAATCGTTCCTAGTAAGTCCGAAATTTTCATTAAAAATCTTTCTTTTTTTTTTTTTCTTTGACCATTTTTTTCCATTTTATAAAAAAAAACAACTAGAAATCTCACTTCGAAATTCTTTTAAATATCAATTATCATTTTTTCAAAACTTATTTTGAGAAAATCAGAAATTATAATGTTTATTTAAAATAATTTACTCACAGTTCCAGTTAATACTTGAACAATATACCACATAATTTTTACCTAAAAATTTAATTTAATTTAATTAAAATATAAATGGGCAACATTGTAAAATGATATAAAACATTGTGTACATTTAAAATGGTTAACTATGTATTAAGTCAAATAGTAATTATTGTGACAGTCATCAGTATTTGGCAACAATAAATCAATAAGCATTTAATACTCTGATGTTAATCCTAAATTACTATTTTAGTTTTTCTAGTGAGGATCAAATCAACTCGTAAAAAAAAAAAAAATTCAGGAAATATTGTGTTTGCAAGATTTAATAGGATAAACCAGTTAATGGGATTATAGTTCACTAGTAAGGTTAAGTTATGGGAGGAAACTTAACTGTCTGATACTGACCTGCTTTAAGAATGGTAAAATTTCCTACAATTTCATTCATTATTAAGCTATTTTTTTCTCTCTCCTTTAATATTGTAAAAGTCTTAATGGAAACAATTTTTAAATGTCTTAAAATAACTTTGTAAAATTTGGAAATGTAATATAGCTTTTGTATCCATTCTCTCTGAGTAGATTAGCAAGATTAAGAACCATCAGTTATAAATTTGGGTTTGATAAAGGGTGTAATTTAACATGCTCATGAAAATTAAAAGTGATAAACTTGGGTTCATATTTTTTCAACAGTGAGTTTTCTGCTTATGCATATATGCCTTTTTGTCTATTTGGTGAAAAGTATTTTTATGATCTCTTGTATATAACAGGAGCAGTGTCTTTGTAATTGTTTTATTTTTATTTTAATATAGATACTTGAGACATGTTTTGGAAGTTCAATCTCCTGTCATCCACTCATATTGACACAATACTTGAGAGAGAGGTATGAATAATTTTGAAATTTGACCTAATTTTATTTAGATTATATCTGATAATTTGTTATTGAATGTAACATCAGAATTATAAATGTTTTAAAATTGAAGTCAAAGAATGTAAACATAATAGGCTTCTGTCTTATCAATAACGCATAGTTGTTTTTTGTTTTTGTTTTTTTCATGTGATAAAATGCTACAGAATATTTTGCAATTGTTTTACCTGTTTTTAGGATGTCACATTGCAAGAACTTCTCGATGAAGATGACATTCTTCAAGAATGCAAGGCTAGACACAAGAAGCTCATTGACTTGTAAGTTGTATTCAGTATTCAATACAATGAGAGTGTGCATTTGAGGCAGGTTTTTTAAAATTAGGCCAATATTTTTCATTTACACTCTTGAGAAATCTGGAAAAAGCATATTTTAAATTAAGTTTGGAAGTTATTTTAATGCTTATTTAAATTATTTTTGCTATTTGTATTTATAAAAAATATAAATCTTTGTACATTGTTTTTAAAATGTCCATTTATGTAGAAAAATTCATCTGCATTATAGAGAATACAATACTTTATCATCGTTAGAATATTTGTTACATTCCATAAAGAATAGTAAACTGACAAACAGTATCTTTAGGGACATTTTTTTGTACTTTTTTTTTTTTTTTGTAATAAGTTTATTAAGTTAAATATTTAGTGAGAAGTTTTAAAATATTAAAAGGTTTTCCAGTTAAAGTTTTATTTTCCTTTTATCTTAGAATTACCAATAGTGACAGCAAAAAGGAAGAAAATGCCAATCGCTCATATTTCAATCTAAAGTTTTCAGGTTTTACCGACAGAACATTTAATCTTTTGATGAAAATTTAATAAGGACATTTTTTTATATTTATGGACTGATGTATGCAATTTTGATTTTTAGCCTTATCCGTCCCGATAACCTGGGAGAGATGGTTAATATGGTTACTCAAGAACCATCAGAAGATATTGAAGAGAAACTACGCTATAGGTAAGAATATTCTAAATCATCAAGTTTTTAAAATGTAACATTTTAAATAAAAAATATTTTAAATAGTTTATTTATAGTAAAATATCTGATAATATTTATTTCTCTTATATGATACTGTCCATAACAGATTTTGTACTGAAGTTACTTTTCTGTGAAATTTGATTTCAAACTAATTCAAATCTTTCTTTTTTTTTTTTTTTTTTTTTTGCCTTTCCTTACTGTGCAGATCAATGATATTCCCTAATTTGACATGATCACTTGTATAATTTTCCTTTTGATTAATATTTTGTTGTTTCAGAAGAATATAATTGCTTGATTTAATATTCAATTACACTATTTAGATATTGGTACATAGGTTTATTCAACCACATTTGTACCATTTTGTTCCATATATCTCATTTTCCCCATCTTCCCAGAATTTGGCATCTTTCTGTTAGAAGTGTTTTCCAGAGAATTTTGTAGGGATCAAAATGAGTGGTAATGTTAACTGTTATCTACTTTCAAAAATGTCATTCCCTAATGTTCTACCTTGAGTAGCTTTTGGGGCTTGTATTGGGTGAACAATAGTTTTTAAAAAGTGATAATCTGGAGGTGCAATGTAGTAGAATATCACATGCAAGCTATACCAATTTCTGCTGGGTCTGCAAAGAGGTGTAAATCTGACTGTCCTTATGGGAAGACAGCATCACTCCATTTGGCCAATTCTAGACACTTTTAATCAGTTCATTTGAGAACAGTATTTGTCTAAATTCAACATCTGATTTTGCAGAACAAGATTGTAAGGTGCAATACCCTTTCAATCCTTTTATTCAAATAAGACGCGCTGAAAACAATAAATACATTACACAAAATTGAAATATGAAATAGGTATAAAAATAAAATGGTACTTAGTTTTTCCAAATATTGTAATGTTGCTGCTACTACTGGGTCACTTCTCTGTCTCCACTCTAGGTCAAGATTTTTTTAGTTTCAAGCACATATCAAATCAGATGAAGATCAGTTATTTTGTGAAGAAATGTGAGTGACAGTCGGTGGTGACGACAATTCTGAAACCATTTGACCCCCCCCTTGCTTCATACAGACTTTCGTACATTTGAAATAATCGATTTTTATAGACACAAAAACAATGTTACATTCAATTTTGTACATACTGGTAGTTTGCAGATTATAATAAGCTTTATAATTTATGATCTGTAAGTATCTATTTAATAACACCACTGCTTAAAAAACTATTCTCACTAACTTTAAAATATTTAACAACTTTAATGTATTGTTAAGGTGGTGGGATGAATATCAAATAATTGGGTTAATTTGCAGTATAAGACCCCAGTATTGAGAATGTACCATTCTGGTGTAAAATTGCCTCCTTCAAAAATGACATTAAAACATTGTGCTCGATTACCATTTAGAACTTATGGACAATATAAGTTTCACTTCTTTCTCGTTGCGTACACAGATCGTCCGCCATTACTGGATTTGTTAACATACGTTTGCCTCAAGTAGTCATGCAGCGCAGAAGCTTCACTTGTCTTGATTACTTTGCAATGCATGGAGTTTGAAATGAATGCGCAAAATAATGCAAAATTTTTGTGTGTGTGTGAGATGAAAGTTTCTTGAATTTAAATAGGTACCTTCACTTGGTCATGTAAAAAAACAGCATAGCATGATGAGAAAAGGCCTTTTTTTTTATCAGGCTATTTCCTTTTTTTTTATTGGTGACAAAACTTTGTTTTTATTGAGTTTTGTGTCTTGGTGTTTTTTGTCATCAAAATCTTTGTTATTGAGAGGAAAGACCAAAGTATTTTTTATTATTTTTTTTTTTTTAATTTTTTACTCCTTTGTAAAAAATTTTTAATTTTTTACTCCATTGTATAAAAAAAAAAAAATTTTTTTTTTTTTTTTTTTTTTTGAAAAACAATTGATTTGGAAATTCTTGCAAAATTCAAATAATTGTTGGATTTTAATGAAACTTTCAGGACATATTAAAAAATGAATGAAATTATTTTTGAAATTTTTCTTTTAAAAAAAATCATTGTAAAATAAATGCAATAAAACTATGACATTAATTAGAAAAGCTTTTAATTGCTTTTGTAAATAAGTTATATTGAGGAAACAAAAAAATTTTGATGAATAATGAATTTTTACAAGAATTTTTTTTTTTTTTAATTTTAAATATAATAATATAATAGTTCAAAAATCGTTTAAAATTCTTCATTGCTTTCAAGATGGCAGTCTGATGATATAACGATATCATCAGACTGAATCAAAATTTCAAAAAACTCATAATATACTACAATTAATTAATTTTTTGTTTAAGGTAGTAAACTTAAGAACCTAGAGACGAAATGTAAATTTCATAAAGCTTCTTGAAACCTAACTAAAAGTCAATAAAATATTAAATAATTGCTGAAAATATCTTAATTTGTAAATATTACTAAAACTTAAAAAAAAAAAAAAAAAAATGAGTTCACTTAGATTTTGTAAATTTGTCATTTCTGGTCATCCATAACAGCTATCATCACTTTGAGAGCTTCTCAATAAATTGATAAAGATCAAAGAAAGATGGGACCCATCATTAAGAAATGCTTGTATATTGGTTTTTTATGCTATAAGTAACTAATATTTATTTCAAATAAGATTAACTTGGGTACCTCCATGAGATCACTAAAAAAAAAAGGAAAATGATGAAAAAGATGCAAAACTTAATGAAAACAAAATTTTATCATCTAAATGTACATGTTATTATTAAGAGGAAAGATAAAAGTAATTTTCGTTAAAAAAATTTTTTTTTAGTCAGCAAAATTGACAGATAATCAATCATGTCAACCATTTTTTTCCATTTTATAAAAAAGAAAATGAAAAAATTAAAATCTGTTTCAAATTCTTTTAAAAATCAATTATAATTTTTTCAAAACTTATTTTAAGAAAATTAGAAATTATAATCTTTAGTTAAAATATTTTGAAACAAGCATTACTTGGTTTCTGTGCCGAAAAGAAGTAGTTTAAAAATAAAACAAAGCAGGTCATAACATTTCACGTCACTTGACAGGTGATGAGCGATGATTTCATCACATATTGACAGTTTACGTGAGGAAAATTTATCATACGGGAGGACAGGAGTGATATAATTATTTAGAGTTAAGTGAACAAATTATTTACCTCCTTATTTTTAAGGAAAACTTTCAGCACTATAATTTTTTTTTTTTTTTTTTTTTTTTTTTTTTTTTTGTACTTAGCTTTCACCTTTACATTTACAATGCTTTATGGAAAATATATTGTAAAAAAAATTAAAATTAGACTGTAGAGAGTGAGATTAAATTTCATAAGAAAGGTATCTAATTAATTTATAGGTACCTTTCTTATGAAATTTTATCAGAAGTGTACATGAAATACTATAATTTTATGTACATTTCTTACATTTTTCTATGTTGCATGTATTTCCATTCATTTTATTATTAATTTTGATATTTCATTTATGAAAAAATGTCATAACTGAGATTAGTATAAAAATAAGATCATATAAATTTCATATGATACTAATACTTGTAGGTACCCTTCTCAGTTGAAATTGAAAAATCAAATTAACTTCTCCACATGTGTTTCGCAAAAATAAAGGCCCTAGCAGCAGAGAACAATGCTTAACTCATATAACGCAACTTAATTATATTCTTGCTGGTCTTATGTACTTTTTAATTAGTCATTTTATGAACACATTACATTTCTTAATTAGTGCGGGTCTTCTGATTGGTCGAAGCAGTACAATTTACAATGTTGTAAAAATCAGACCTCTCGCATAAAGCCATTTATGAAGCTGAATGTTGTTTTCACTAATTTTATAATATTTTAACTTAAATGTAAAAATAATCAAAGAAATAACAAATAATTGTATTAAAAATTCATTTTTCATTGAAACAATTATTTTTATTTTTGCAAGATTTTTAAAATTAATGTCCATCATAAAAAATGCACAAAAAATTTGCTATGTTATTTACTAATAGTTCTGTTGATGAAGAGAAACAAACTTTTTCAGTCAAAAGTTAGAATATTCTAATAAAGACAGAAAAAAATTTAAAAAATAATTAAAATTACTTTGTTCTTTCCTCTTAATAGTAACATAAACATTTTGACAATGAAATTTTGTTTTCATCAAGTTTAATGCCGTTATTATCATGCTATGCTCATTTTCCAGCGATCTCACGCCAAGTTCATTTAGTTAGAGTTCATGTTGGCCATCACATCCATGATGACAGCCTTCAACAAATCTTTGGTATTGTGAAACTGCTGGTTGATCTCTTTGATAATGCTACAAATGTAGTAGCCCATAGGATTTTAATCAAAAGAGCTAAGAGGCTACATGTTGAAACAAAATGATAGTGAAAATTATTGGCCAACCAATCCTGGGCCATGTGTTAGTTGGTTGAATCCATCCCTAAGTCATCCCCTCGATCCAGGACTTGAGTACAGTGTTCAACATGTCAATGTAAGCAATAGCATTGACACTGACACCTTGTGGGAAGAAGTGGAGCAACATTACATTATACCATTTGTCATTCCTCCTATTCACCTTCTGGTCCTGATTAAAGTTTTCCTTATTGAAGTAAGACCAAAGCATGCCAGACACTACAAAGTGCTTGAAATTGTTCAGCAACTGTTTTACTCTGATCACATAGTCGTCATAGCTACTGTAGGAATAATATCCTTGTGCAGTGCATGTCTGATAATGGATTCTGCCACCTTGAGCTGCTCAGCAATAGTCTTCATTAGCTTGCTGAATTCTTGGTTGGAGATGTCCTGGATCTGCTGGACAAATTTGGCCATCCTTACAATATCTGGCTTCTTAGGGTGTTTCTTTTGACTACAGGTAATTTGTTTCCCACTAAAATTTTGAACACATTCTTGACTTTGAAGGACATAACCAGTTTCTTGAAAGTTGCTATCCCCAAAGTTTTTAATGGCTAGTGCCATGAGCATAGTGGTGATTTTCATTTCCTCTATCAAATTGGAAGCTTCCATATTAATACTCTTGATACATCTGAAAGAAAAATGAAAATATTAGCATTTGGCACATGCCATGAAATATGTAACAAAAAATGCAATACCTAAGGTTTAAAAATGAAAAATCTTTCTTGAAGCTTTTATTTTAGTTTTAATTTCATCCTAATAGATTAAATTTAATATTTATAATAAACTTTTCTTTTTTTTTTTTTTTTTTTTTTTTTTTTTTTTTTTTTTTTGATAAAATAGCTTTTTCATTGCCTTTCATCACAATGTAATTCTCTTTATTAAAAAGTATCTTCCAAAGATAAAATATACTTTTCTAAAACTTTGAGGAATATTAAATGATTTAAAGTGTAATTACTTTGAATTGAAACAAATATTATTTACTTTAAGTATAAAATATCACAGAAATGCACTTATCAGCCAGATATTAGCCTGTGTTTTTAACCCAACAGTAGGTGTTTGACATGCTAATAACCTAATGACAGATCAATGTTGTTTTATGTAGGTTTCATCTGTAAAACATAATTGAAGAAAATGACTTTAGGACATTTTTAAGTACTCAGTAATCTTAAAAATTTAGGAAAATATTCCCCATAATCTAATGCTTTGTTAAATCTTAGAAATGTTGGCTCTAAATTTACTATCATTATCAGTATTATTTTCTGATAATGTATGCATGGTCACCCATACTTACAAAAATCGGTACATTTATACATATACAAAAAATTCAAAATCCTTTTAAAAAAATATTGGTTTTTGATCATTTGTATTAAGTCTTTCCATTTTTGATTAGTAAATACAGTTTTCACTTAATAATATCATCTAAAAGGGTGACATTATTACAGAATTTTAAGATTTAAAACTTAATAAATTATCCTAATTAAAATTTAAAAAATATGAAAACCATTCTTGTAAAAATTCATTATTCATCAAAAAAAATTTTTCTTAACTCAGTAGTGTCCTTAATTTATAAAAGCAATTAAAAGCTATTCTAATTAAATAATGCCATAGTCTTATTGCTTTTTTTATTTTACAATTCAGAGCAGATGTTGGTAAATCGTGTTTCTGTTTGACAAAAACAAATTGATTTAAATTCTCCAAGGAGTCTTGCTCTTAACTAATGAAGGGTGTGAAATGTTAACTTTTCAAAATTTCATAAAATTGAATAAGTGCGGGTAACAGATGAAAAATATATATAACCAAGATTTTCTTTTTTTCATTCATTTGTGAATAAGTCCTGAATTTCCTTAAAATATAATAATTATTTGACTTTTGCAAGAATTTCCAAAGCAACATCTTTTACCACAAAAAAAATGACAAATTTCCCATACTAATCTTTGGTTCAGCCACTAACACAAGGAAAACTAAATTTTTAACAAAAATTTTGAACATACTAGAAAGGATTAAAAAATTTAACTAAATAGTCAGAAATACTTTGGTTTTTCCTCTTAATAATAGCAAACATTTTGATGATAAAACTTCGCTTTTTATCAAGTTGGGGCTTTCTTTTTTTTTTTTTTTTTTTTTTTTTTTTCATTATGGTATGGTCTTTTTTTAGTGAATTTTTGGAGGTACCTAGTCTAAAGGGACTGGAAGAACACTCTTTTGTGCATAGAAAGTTAACTTCTAAACCAGCATACCTGTTATATGTAATAAAGTTTTGCCAACTAATTTTTTCCTAATCCAAATTTTAAATTATATATGCATGGTAACCTATGCTTATGCAAGTTTTCATAATAGTAATATAGATTCTTCTATTTATAAGTTTTCAATACTGTGCAGAAACTGGATTATAAGTTGACAGTAATTTAAAAACAAAATAAAAAAAAATAGCAAGTATATACTCATAAAAATAAATAAAACATTGACATCATAACTGTTGACTAAGCTTAGATTAGATTTGCTACTAGATTCCAGATTAGGAAGAAAGAAAGATTTTATCTTTTTTTCTTCCCTCCCCCCTTTACCCGAGTTCAAACACTGGTCCTAGTACAAGTAGCATATATAGAACTTAACCACAAACAAAGCTACTTTGTCCTGATTTGGACATCTGACATGAAGAGAAGCAAAGCAATGATATATGCCTTTTCCATTCAGATTAGTTTGTTCATTATGATGACATTTCTCCCATTGTACTCTCCAGACTTCTTCATATACATCTTGTACTCAGTAACCTCCATGGAATTTTGAACTGACCCCTTTATTCAAACCACAGGAGTAAATTGTTTTTATTCTATTTTACATGTATAGGGAATATCTTCTATCAGTTAATTCTCTCTAGTCCATTTTGTCTGTGTCACTTGTCTATTTCTTATATTGAACCAGAGTATATACCCAAGGATTAAATTCATGACTACCAGAAAACATATGCTTTAATCCAAAGTTTAAGCCTCTAAAATTACACCAGCAGATTCGTCAACAGACATCAAAATCCAACAATTATTTGATTTTTGCAAGAATTTCCAAATCAATGAGTTTTTTACTGCAAAAATGATGCTACTGATCCCATACTAATCTTTGGTCATCATACCACCCCCACTCCATCCCTCCTGACACAAGATAATCCAGATTTTTAACCAAAATTTTGATTGTGCTAGAAAGGATTAAATAAATTTAATAAATTAATATAAAAATACTTTGGACTTTCCTCTTAATAATAGCATAAACATTTTGATAAAATTTCATTTTTATTAAATTTGGGGCCTTTTTTCATCATGGTATGCTCTTTTAGAAGATTTTTGAGGTACCTACATTATGCCATCCTCCATTCATGCCCCACTAAAGGTTTGTCCTAAAATATCTGATTCATTCTCTCTGTTTTGTAGTATTGAAAAGGTAAACTAATTTTTAGAAAATATTTTTGCAGGTATTAAAATTTGAAAATTCTTGTAACTAGCAAATGTTTGTAATTGACTAAGTATAAATTGGAAAATGAAAGAGGAACTTAATATTGCTGCTGTCACTATACTATTACTACTAAACTTTAGTATTAAAAATGTCTACTCTATGTGCATTGTGTTGACACTTAAAAATGATTGGATTATTTTGAATGAAATAAAATAAAAACCCTTCTTATCCAAATGGAACTTAGTGAAAGTAAAATCAAGATATATGTGATTATATGTAAATTTCCTTAGTTAATTCTTGATTTAACTTGTTACCTTTATAAGCAGATAATTGGCAAAATAATCTTTATTATTAACTGGTTGCTAACAAAAGGATACAAACCAAGTTTTATGCTGCATTACCATTAATCCAGGTTTTCTATGATTAAGACAAAATTTTTTAGTGGGGAGTCATTTTTTTCAAATATTTCATTGTAATGAAGTTTGAATTGTTGACTGCAAAATTAATATGAAACATTTTAGTGATAAGTGTTGATGTTTTTTGACAATTTAAAAACTGGATTGTGTAAGTATAAGCAACTAATTGCTGATAATTTATCTGCAATCATTTATTAAAATATAAGTACTTTGAGAGGCTTTGTAAGAGTGAACTTGCTAGTTAACTGTCTGTAAAAACTAGCTTGGTAGCTATAAACAGCTAAGTAAAAATTAAAATTCCCTTTACAAATCTTTCATATGGAAAGAATTTTTTTTTTTCTGAAATTTTGGTTAATTTTTACAGATTTAAGTACTTTAGATTAAATGCTTTTGTCTAAAAATGAAAAAATATTTTGATAAAGATAAAATTATTGAAATTATTCACAACTTATTAAAAAATCTTTTTTTATGTATCTTGCATTTCAGATATCCTAATACATCATGTGAAGTATTGACATGTGATGTAACTCAAATAAATGACCGCTTAGCTGGAGATGATACCTACATAAATAAATTGTACAGTTTTTTGGGGTCCAAAGGTCCACTTAACCCATTGCTGGCTAGTTTTGTCAGTAAGGTGATGGGGCTCCTCATAGCAAGAAAAAGTGAAATGGTAGGTGAATAAGTTAATTTTCTTTTTTCTTTTTATAATAAACAAAGGACATTTCAATTTTTGGTTGGTAATTTCTGATCAAGTAATATATGAACATACTACAGATCTTACATAATACTGTCTCATGAAAGATTCATTATTTAAAATGCATAACTTGCACAATTCAAAGTTATATTTAGGAAATCTGTATATTTGACATGCCAAGGAGTTAAAACTTAAATTTTTACAAAAAAAAAAAGTGATAAAATACTGACAATTCATTTAACTTATTTGCCACTACCTTTCTGTGTTATTTATATGCTATAGAACAATTAGATCAATTTGACATTTATAAATTAAACTTCTACTAAGGTCTGCCAATGATAATTACATATCTGACAACATTTAGATTTGAATTACTCACTTTATGGTTCATATTTATTCAGTATTTTAATATCTACAAGAAAATATTTTGTTTAAATTGCTAATTGTAATTCACATTTTGCACATAACTACACTGGAAATTTACCATTTAATATTGTTTTTATTATGAAATATTTGCTTCAAATTATACTAAAAGAAAATAAGTTTTGAGTGAAAAATTTTATATGCATATGTCATGCACATTAAAGCTTTTATTGGAATACCAGTTTAATAACTAAATGCTTTTTTTTTCTTTCTCTCTAGATATTTGAGTTTCTTAAATCAAAGTCAGATTTTGTTGGAACTTTATTGATACATATTGGAACATCAGCTATGATGGACCTCCTCTTACGATTAATAACCTGTATAGAATCCCCAGAACTCAGAGTGGAAATGATACAGGTAACATTATTTTATTTATATTGAATTAGATATATACATATTCTAGGTGCTTAAGATTTTTTTCTTTTTTATTTAACTTGTGATAAGTCAGTAAAGCCTTTTTCAAATTCCTCTGGTGGATAGGGTTGACCTCTGTACTTGACACAATTTCAAGTTACTGATAAAGGATAAGTCTAAATAACAATTGGCTTGTTAGTGATAGATGGCCATACTAAGGTGATTATTCATATTATTCCTCATGAACTGAATCCTCATTTGATCAATACATACAAATCTACTTTTCAAAAAACATTTTAAATATGCTATCATTGTTGGAAATGAGTAACTTAGTTTAAAACCCTAACACCTGTTACAAATATAATAAAGGCTTGTTTATTATTTTTTTCAATGCTTTCATCTAACAAAATCTCTTGGTGGACCACTTGATAGATTTACTCAGTTTTCTGCAAAGAAACTTAAATTCTTTTAAAGATTATATTTTCAACTGAAAATAAAGGGTGTTTTCCTTTTCAAATTCATACAATGCATCTAGCTAAGACATGTTTTTGCAATTTAGTTCTGTGAAGTGGATTTCCATTCAAAAATAACTTTAGTGTGTGTGTTGCAGGTAATGGTTTTGATAATTGATTAGGAATGCAAATGAAAACACTGGGAAAACAAAGTTCAAATTTCTGAATTGTTTTAGATTTATAAGATTCAAACGTGAATCTCAAATCATCTGAAATAATCTTGGCAATCATTTCCACTTGTGTTTAAAAAATCATTTATTAACTATACTGCCTATTTATTAATGAAATTGGCATTGTTTAATGAAATAACATCTTTACTCTAAGATTAGAAATATACACTTTAAAGCCAAAATAAAACTTAGTCAATTGGTTAATCAAAATGAGCTTTAACTTTTTTCACTTTATATGTAAGTGGGAATTTTTTTTAAAAATACATCTGAAATAAGATAATTATTTAATTGGGAATGTGGAGAGGCTGCCATTCCCTTCTGACTTCATTTCATGTTATTAAAATGCTCTAGTAGTAAGACATTGAGTAAATAAATATTGAACATTTAAAAATGTGTTATTCTATTAAATGAAATGTCTAACATCATTTTCTCACCTATATTTGAGAATAAATTTAATGTATTCATTTTCTTTTATAGTGGTTAAATGAGCAGAGGTTAGTGGAAAGACTTGTTGATCAGGTTGTTCCAACAATTGATGAAGATGTAAGTATTCATTGTAATTTTAATTATATTTTTCTACTTTTAATTATATTTTTTCTATTTCTTTTATTTAGTTAGTTTCTAGTTTTTAGTTATTTGCATTTTCAGAATTGCTTTGTTACTTTAAATGTTAATTCTAGTGAAATTAAAGTAATAAAAATGTTGGATTAATAAATAAAATCTATTATCTTTTAGAATTATTAAGATTTAATAAAAGCAGGTTTTCACAAGTTTAATCTGAATGAACCTCATCACTTTTATCTTAATATGTAAACAGCATGTAAACTGCTTTTAAATTAATGCTTTCTAATTATCCAGTTAATTTTCCTTTTTTTTTTCTTTTTTTTTTTTTTTTTTACACTCACAAGATTTGTAACCCAGGTTTATGGTAATGCATAAAGGAAAAAATTAAAAAAAGAAATTTTTCTTAGTTACAAAATACATGCAAAAAGAATTTCAAATTCTGAAATGTTTATGCAAATGTTTTATTAAGAAGACTTAAGATTCTTAGCTCTGTGTTTGTGTTTATGTGCGCAGACACACACACTGTTAAGAATCCCATTTATGTGTTGGTGACAAATAATAAATGAAATTAACAGAAAAATGCATTTAACTGTTCTGAAAAGGTGATGTTTTTCATTTTATAGTAAATACGTAACACTTGAATGACAATTGTGAATAATACTTTATTAAATTTAGCTCTCAAATTTATTGTATATTTTATAAACCTTATCTGTAAGCCTTATGAGAATATTCAAGTTACCAAACCTATACCTATATTTTGAAACAAGTCATGCTTTTAAAAAATACAACTCTTGTTTCAAGTGATCTACTTTTATGAAAATTGTGATGGGATAAACAAGCATAATATTTAAAAAAAAAAAAAAAAAAAAATTACTATTTATTGCTACTGAATCTCAATTGTTTGTGAATCTCTACCATAAACAAATTTCTGTGGAAATCTTATTTGAAATGTAATTTTCATTAACTAGTGGTTTAAATTCAGTTGTACAATTTATATTTTACAACATCCAAAACTATAAAAGTTTGGTGCAAAGAATCTCCCTCTCCTCTCAAGTAAGAATTTTTGTTTTTAGACAAGATACATGTCACGCTCACTTCAGTAAATTAGTGTTGTGAGGATCAATAATAATCTGTAAGATTGAAAACTCTGTACATAATCCCTCAGCATTTTGCCATTTTCTCTTATAAGGTTCATACAAATGCAGCTCAGTCCCTTTGTGATATAGTACGAATAGGCCGTGAGCAGATGTCCCAACTTCAGGATAAGGCTGAATCAGATCCGCTTTTGGTTACTGTTGAATGGTAAGTATTTTTTAATATCTTTACGTTTTTGTGGATAAAAAGTCAAAAACTACAGTAGTTTCAAATTTTCAGCTTTTCTTTGCTTTCTACAGTCATCCAAATATATAATATTATCAGATAATAAAGCTAAATAACTCAAATCTCAATTATCTAAATTCTGCTTTTTGACTAGAAATATTAAATTTTTGCTTTCTCTCACAGTGAATCCACTGTCTGCCGCTTGTTGTACAACATATTGGATGGGGAAAAAAATGAATCTGTCATTGTCAATGGTCTTCTTGTGATACAAACGCTACTAGATGTCAAGAAACAAGGGTAATATTTTTTATATTTTTCACATTTTATTTTCTTAACAAATAAAGTAGCAGCCAATAGAATTTTTTAAAAATATATTGGGAAAATAATAATTTCCCATCTTTTTACATTTTTATTAGGAACTAAACATAATGGAAGAGAAGATACTGGTATGCATTATAGAAGTGTTGATATTCATTAAAAAGCATAGAATATCAACTAATTATAACTGTTTTTACAGATATGAAATATGTTGATAAAAACTTACCTATTGGTCAAGATTTGTGATTTATCTGTAAGAGTTTGTATCAAGAGATGGGACCTTTTTAAAGATTTCAGTAATCTTTGGTTTCCAAAACTGCAGGTTTTTTTATTTTTTTCTGATCAAATAAAGACTTCTTTTTTTTTTTTTTCTTTTAAGTTTAAATATAAATTTGTGTTATCATCCACAAAAAAAGATTAAAATTTTAACCTGTAACATTTACTTAGAATTTTAAACAATGAAATATATATCATTTTATACTAGAAATACTTGTAACTTCATCCTTCCTTTGTGTGCCTTCTATTTAAAATTTTCGTTTTTATAGTTTCGAAGGGGAACTTGATCAGAGGACTCCTTTGGATATGGAACGATTGACACAAGGAATCAACAATGTTCTTTCAGCTATAGCTCCCAGGATTAAGGACTTCCATTCACTTTTACAAAATCCCCCAAAGGTTTGTCTTATTAATTGAGAATTTTTTTCGCTCTGTTTGTAGAATAGGTGTGTATTTTTATGGTGATTTTAGCATGAATTTATAATGCATTTTGAAGTAAATTTTTCAGGTGTAAAAATCAAAAGTTAAAATAAAAAATATGCAGAATTATTCATCGTATTCCTCAATTGTATGATAAATTACATTTACTTTTTCATTTTTACATAATATAAAGCATTATCTTTTATCTCTGATCTCCTACTCAGCATATTACTTTAATATTTAATCTATTTTTATCATGTCTGTGATAATTTGATATAAATTAAAAAAACTTCCCAAACATTCTTGGGACTTGGAATTTAGTTATTTGCATAAGTAATCATTGCTGCTTATAGTCTCTTTTAATCACATTTTTGTGTCCTCATGAATACAGGTAACATTCTGGAATTAATTATGTGACACTTTGTTCTCTTTTTCTAAGCACATTTCTTGAAAAACATGCTTTTAAATTTTTTTTTTATTTTTTTTTTTTTTCCTTTCCTTATTAAAATGGCTTGAAAATCTCAACTTTTTTTAATTAAAAATTTTTTCTATTTGAATTTGCTGTCTACAAAATCTTTGTGCACTTATTTTAGTGTAACTAAATTTGTCATTAAAAGCTACCTCATTTAGTAAAGTATTTATACACTAAAAGGAAACAATGTCTGTTAACATTTTCATATATAATTCTTTTTGAATTTCTATGAAAACTAAAAATAACTTAATGAAAACATGGTAGCAGTTGGCAACAGTAACAGACTCTGCATGACTAAAATAAGGCTACATACAAATAAAAATGTTTTAATGATGTGTTGCTTTTAAATTTTATTTAATGCTAAGTTTCTGGTGCTTTTGCTAAAAATATTATTTATTTTTCCTTGTCTAAAAACAGAATTCTCTGGTGGTGTGTAACTTTCAAACTAAACAAAATCATTGGTGTTATCTAAAATTGGATTTGTTTGAGTTTTAACTTGATATATTTTATTGCATTCATCAGAAGGTTGTTATAACTTGAATATGCTGGACCTTTAATACTTCTTCCTCTTTTTTTTTTTTTTTTTTTCCTCACTCTTCTCCCTCTGTTAAAATGTTGTTTAATAATGATGCTAACACTTTTATTACTTTTCATATTTATATAGTGCAGAAACAATTAAAATTGTATTACACACTAATTTTAAAATGGTGAACTAGGTTCCACAGTACAGAATTTTTTTATAGGAATTGCTCCTGAATATAATAAAAATATGAGAAATATTAATATGTTGGTTCATAAAAAGACATTAATACTTTCAAGGATCTTTAGCACAAATACAACAGAATATCAAAAGTATTTATAAAATGAACTTCTAAAAGTTCTTAAGGATATATGCCAATTCTGTATCTGCTAAAAGAGTATCAAATTACTAAAATTTATAAAAGGAAAAAAAACTCGATTTCCTAAAATATAAAAAAAAAAATGAAAATTTTTTCAATTACTTAGAAATTTATGACACTCATTAATACATGAAGCCATATATATATATATATATATATATATATATAATCATCATGTGTGAAACTTGTACTCTATAACCTAACAATAATCCTATTATATGTTGATTAGCTGTGCAGGTAGTGTAACGGTTAGTGAACTGAAAAGCGAAATCAGTGAGCCAAGTTAAAACTACAGCCAAATTTATGTTCAATTTTACACAAATACCCTTGGGAAACATATCAATCCATCTGTTCTAGAGAAGAGATTGATATCTTATCTCTAACCCACTATGGGTTAAATGGGCTGATCAGGTTCTCTTGTCTATGTGGAAACCAGTCTGAGAAGGAAAACTTAATTCACTACCAGCCTGAAAAGGAATGCACTATGGCTGCAGTACAGGTGAGGATAATCTTTGTGGAGTATGGGACTTGTGATATGTTGTTTTATAAAAATGAAAGATAGAAAATAAAGAATGAAGTCAATGTTAAGATTGTTGTGATTTTATACCTTGGATTACAGAGATGCTTTTGCATAATTTTTACCCACTAATCTCATCTGATAAAATATACTTCATTTTCAGCCTAGATATTGTGCAATGCCAACAACCATTGGTGTTCTGGAACCTCCTTTGGGAAATACAAGACTTCAGATTGCCAAACTGATCACAGCTTTGATTCAAACAAATTCACACAGTGTTAACGTTGAATTAGCCAATTCAGGGACCATTGGTGTTTTGTTGGTATGTATATATGCATTTTACAAACTTACACATTTTTAATGTACAATATGAAAACAGTTTCTTAATATAGATATCAGCATTGAAACTATATTTAAAAAGATAAACCCAACAAATCTTGTTAAAAAATTCATAGTGTTATAAATTTGCATTTTTCTCAAGTTATATAATTTTAAAGGTTGTACACTATTTTCAATATATTTTTCTTAATTCCTTTACACATTAGATAATAATTTTTAATCTGTTGTCATGGTTTTTCAAGTTATTTGTGATTCATTAAAACATTATTTGCATTATTTTAAACTTTAATGTAAATTGAAAATGATTTTTTTACTATAATAAAGAAATTGACACTAAGCTTAACTACAGAGGGTACCAGGCTTTTTCCCCCACTTAGACTAAAACATTAAATGAAAAATAGGTCAATATTTGCTATAAATAAGATCTTATAACTAATTGGCATTAGAAAATACTTTAACATGATTTTTTTTAAAAATTACCTTATCAGTTTTCTAATAAAACAACATTATTAGCAATCTCTATTCTATAGAACATTAAGCCCATTTCTCATGTTAGGTTATAAGAAAATTATAACTAATGCCTAATTCTCTCGGCTAAGGAAAACCAAAAATGATCAGAGTTTGTCACCACCGGTTATGTTGCTGATTTAAAAAAAAATATTTAAGTTGAATTTTTATAGTATTTTATCTAGTAAAGTTTTCCATTTAGAAATTTTTGTGAAAGACAGCTTCAAACTGTATCTTATACCCACCAAATTGATGAGCATCTATTTCAATACGTGTAAAAAGACACAGGTTGAAGAACAATTTTTAATAACATCTATGAAATTGTTAACTTTAAAAAAACATGCCAACCATCATTGAAATACTGACATAATTTAAAGAGATTTGAAATAAAAACTAATAACATATGAGAAAGTATTGCATCTTTATAAAGTGAAAAGATTAAATTTTGTTTATATATTAATTTTATTAAAATGGCCTAAAAAATAAACTGGATATCAGAAGTTGAAATGGAATTAAATTCCACTATTTTGACGTTTTTGCATTGTAAACTAGGACCATTTAGGATACCTATTCTAATAAAATAATATTTGAGTTTATTTATATTATCAGTTGAATTTTTTTTTTAAGCTGACTTGGACTTTTTTTTTTAATCTCTAGGACTTATATTTTAAATATATATGGAACAATTTTTTACATAGCCAAGTTGAACAGTGTATAAGTTTAATACTTAACAATTCACCCTCTGAAGTTGAAGATAGGAAGGAGCATCCACTTTTACAACAAGTAAGTATTTATTTTTTATCATTATTTCAATAACTGTTTCGTGAGCAATAGAAATACAGATATTTGGTAATGTTTATGATGCAAATTTCAATGCTTTGTGTTCAGTTTTCATTTTTAAGTTTTATTTATTTTCACTTGATGTTCTTTATAGTTTACTTTGCCTTTTTTTTGTTGTTCTGATTGTATATTTAATAAACTTAATCTGGTCTTGACACACTCACATTAGTTGAGAACTCTATGAAAATTAATTACTAACCATGACTTAACATCATTCTATAGCAGACACCCTATCTGGTGAAATCTAGACTGGCATCTCTTACAGCTGATAATGATTTATTGTTTACTTTTCATTGATTTGTCTAAGAATATTCAGTAGTTCTATTAATCACATTTATCACCCACTGTAAGCAAAGCAATAATTAGCACTTGCTGTAATCTTATTTGAGAATATTTCTTATTGTTAAAATGGCTGGATAGAAATTTGAACTCTCAGATTGAATTTGAATTGCAATTAATTTAAGAGAAAGGTTGCCTGAGAATTTTTCATTTTGTAGATCATTCTTATGCACTTTTTATGACGTTTTAATAATTAAAAAAAATCTTTTTTTGCTATAATACTATAAATTCAAGCTAATTAGCATGTGTGTGTATATTTTTCTGTAATAAGATTACTTAGATGTACATGTAAAGACAATATTGTAAAAATTCTATAAATCTTATCTATGATCTGTGAAAAGCTCTAGTGCAATTTTTCTTGTAAATATATAAGCTAAGTAAAATTTCTGTTGTTAGATCTCTTAGTTGTAAACCAAGTTGTTTCTAATGCTGAAATGTAAAGACATTTTACAATTATAATACTGACACAGTTGATAAATAAATATCTTTTAATGTGCTGTATTTTTGTACTCAGATTATTTAAAGGACAGCAATTTATGAATTTTTTTTTTTTTTTTTTTTTTTTTTTATCATTTGCAAAATGATGAAACAAATTGAGACATCTTATAGTTCAATATTCATTAGTGATACTTCATAAAAAGATCATTTTTGAAAAGTTACCAATTTTTCATTCAACAGGAGTATTACATTGTCTAGAATGTTCTTAAAAAAAAAAAAAAACACTAGAATGAATCTTATATAAGTAATTTGCTTATTCATTTTTAGTTTCTATATATTGATCATTGGGGTAATTTGCTTCTTAAGCCCTGTGCTAAGTATGTAATAAAAATTTCCCAAATAGTTATATCTAGGTGTAAATTTACATGCTTAATTCAAAACTAACAAAGAAACTTTGCTAAAATCTATGATTTTGAAGTTATCAACAATAAAATTTCAGACTCATTTGCCTCGTTGGCTGCTACAGCACAACAGCCATTACTGGTGTTGTTTGCATACATCACTGCTGAATGGACATGCACAGAAGATTACCTTGTTAATGGACTTCTTACTGATCTTACTTGCTTCAATTTCTGTGCAAATAACGACTCATTGTGTGTGCAATAATCAAGACAAATTAATTCTGCAGTGAATATATGCAAACATCGCCCGTAATGGTTGCTGCGATGTGATTGAGCCCAAAATTTTATTGTTGATAACTTCAAAACTAGATTTTATCAAAATTTCTTTATTTTCAAATTAAGCATGTACATTTACACCTAAATATAACTATTCAGGAAATTTTTATTGCATACTTAGCATGGAGCTTAAAAAGCAAATTACCCGATCATTGAATCATAAGGCTGTCTTTTTTTTTTTCTTTTTTTTTTTTTTTTCCAAAATCTATCTACTTCTATGCAGATGGCAATTTTTGATTTTACTATTATAATATAATAACATGGATGCTTTTAACAGACACTATGATTACCATATTTTTCATTTAATGCAATTAATTGATTTTTTTTTTTTTAAGACTGTTTTCTCTTATTCTCAAAAATAATCAAAGTATATTTTTCTATTGATAATTTTAGATATTTATTAAATGCAATTTAATACAGAGAATTTTAGATTCATGGGAAGAGAATGACCAATATGAGTGAGTACTTTTTTCTAAGTCTATCTTAATATGTACTTGAAACTATACATTTTTATGTCAGTATTTCTTTTTAATAGAAATTTAACTATTTACTTTAACTTATTAAATATTAAACACTTGTCATTTAATAGATGACATAAATTACCATTTCAACAAGCAGTTAAATTTTTTTTTTTTTTAAGTATTCAATCTCTTAATCCAGAATTTTTGTCATCTGCAGTTTTCTGCCATTCATTGACCTAAGTTTTGCTCATTTATCTACCAATATATAGAGGTCTTTTCTTCTTTAAATGCTTACTTACTCCCCCTCACCATAATCTGTTTTAATCATAAACTATCAAATGTATTATAGACATTTAATAAATTAGAACTATTTATACAATTGTAAAAAAAATTTCTGACTATTACAATTATTCTAATTAGCAAAATTCTTTACTCATTCATAAATGACATTAAAAGAATTAACAGAAACTTTAAAAAGTGAATAATGTAATCTTATGAAAATCTTTCTTTTAATAACAGAAATCGGGTCGGGGGTAGAAGAAGAGGTTACATGGGACACCTTACAAAAATAGCCAACCATATAGCTGAATGTTTAGAAAAAGGAGAAAACTCTGAACTTCTGAAAGATCAAATGAAAGGTAAGAATATATAGATTTTTAAATGCATTTTTACATTTGAATTTAAATTATTATGATTTCTATGATGTATTATGAAGTTATCATGAGTATTTTTTTATTAGTCATAAAAATATAAAATGATAATTATGTTTGTAATTTTAAACTGTATATTTCATACTCTTACATATTATATCTAAACGTGTATTTAAATGCATAGATAATTTTATATTTATCCCCAGTTACTGGTATAAAAAGCATCACATTGTAAATAACTTTTCATTGGTCATTACTCACAAAAAAATCATTTAAGATTAGAATGTTAATTTGTTCCATATATAGTTAATCTATTTAAAGTAATATGAAATTAGAAGCAGTTTACATTCATTTATACACATTAGTTCCCCCACCCTACCTAAGATTCCTTGCATATATAGCATGTATATTTCTAAGGAAGTTAATAATTTAATTTGTTTTGTATTTATTAATCCAACAGATTTTATCACTTTTAACATTTAAAGTGATAAAATCTCTTATATTAATAAATAAAAAAAAAAATCTATTACCTCTTTAGAAATTGCTTTGTTTACATTCGGATACAAAACTGAGCAGATATGAAATTTTGAGAATCTAGGAAGAATTTGAGTTTATAGGGCACTATCTGGCCTTGCTTGATCAGTGAGGCCCTCCATAGGCCTAATTGATCTAAAGCATGTTGGATCTAACAATGATTTCTCCTGCAAAGGGGATGCTGGTCTAAATCCTGCCAGAGAGTGCATATTTTTCTTTAACAAGATTTCTTGAATATTCAGGCCAGTGGATGAAAATAAATATATTGTTTAGTAAATGAAATGTCTACTCAAATATGGGTAACCACTAAAAATAACATTTAAGTGATAAAAAATGTGTATACATTTTGTTATTCCTAAAATTTAATGAAATGTCTTGTTATTTTATAGAAATTCCAGAAGAATACAGAAATAAATGGGAATCTTTTGTTTCTTCTACTCTGGCTGAAATCAACAAGAAAAATACTGTGAAATTGGTGTGTATAAGCAAAATTGAATTTTACTTATTTGTAAGCACACACTTCCATAAAGTTAATTTATTTGTTATTACCATCGTTCAAATCCTTATTCTTATCAAAGTATTATTTTTTAAATGAATAATTATTTGAATTGTTTTTCAGGTTCAAGGTCATCCGTTACAGTCAAGTAGTGAGGATGATGATGCAGACTTCAGTGATTTATCCTTTACCCAGGATTCTGTCATGCAGCAAGTTAGTACAAGTCATGAAATAATTGTTAAAAGAAATAATTTGCACTTGTTTTGATTTGAATTATTTTTTTATTTTTTACTATTGCCCAGGGATTTGTTTTGCAGTATTATTCTAAAAGGTTTACCTTTTCACAATATATAATCTTTCTAAATTCAGAACTATGAATATTTTGGTATATAAAATAACTTATTTTAAGGAAATGTGACTGCAACCACTACAGTAACAAACAATTGAATACTAATCCACATTGTTTAGTCATAACTGTAGTACATTAGGAATCTGTAATTGAGCCTACTCATTTAAATTAAATTTGACATGTTATTCAAATAGACTTGTAAATAATAATAATTCATCTTCATGCATTATTTTTATAATGTAAAGTTTTTGATTTGTGATGGGGTTATCAGCTGTTGTATTAGTAAACAAAATAAGTGCTTAAATTTAAAAAGAAAAGACATTTTTAGTTTTCACATATGAACATTGATTCAGTACCTGCCATCTTGTATTTTTGTTTGGAAAGAAGTAAATTTAAGTACTAAATCACATCCATATTGAAAATTTCATACTACCAAAAGATGCTCCATAAATTTCCTCCACACATGTGGCCCTGTAATAGTTGTTAGATATTTTTTCTATGATTCTTCTTATTCTTGCATCTATCATTCATTACTGTTTTTTTCAGAAACCATCCTATTCCCAAGTAAGTAATGGACACAGTTTGCACACCCTCAAAAATGTACAAATATAGTTGCTATGCAGTTCAGGCAGTTTTAGAATTCACATTACACCTGCCTGTATATACAAAACAAAATGTACAAAATAAATTTTTGAGGGTTGTATTGCACTTGGGATTACTTATTCTTACTCTACTTATAGTCAGATTATATTTTTTATCAAACTATCATATTTTGTTTGTTACATTAAATAAGGCTCAGAATTTGCTAAAGATATGTATTTTTGGTACTTAAAGTATTATAGAGTTTTATGTAAATATACCAATCTAAAAGTTACATAAATTATAAACATTGAAGATAATAGCTGAAAATGTTATAACAAATCCATAAATACAAAAATCATAAAGATCAATTTTCATTCCTCGTCATAAATTGGTGCATTGTATTTAAACAAAAAAAAATGAAGAATCAGTTTTTTGTTAAATGAAGAAAAAGAAGAAAAAAAAGAAAAAAACAGCATCTGCTTCAAAAATTTAACAGTGGTAAAGTCTGATGTTTGGGAAAGTTAAGTGAATAGAATATTTGACATAATACTGGTGATTTTTTTTTCTTAAGTATTTTTGAATTGGTTAGACTTTGTTTATATGCAAGTACCATGAGATTAATATTTAATTTTCCAATGTGCTTTGTCAATTTAAGTAGATATCCATTTGATTTTTTCCAAATTTATACTCATTAAATTTTCTTCTTCATGCATTATTCCTTTATTAACAAGTAATTTTCAAACTGGTTTGGCAATAAGTACAAAATTGCTAAAATTCATTAATTATTCTTAAAGCTGATATTGATTCAGTTCTATTTAAATGTTTAGCAAATATTGTCAATTTTTTATTTATTTTTCCAAAAAAATTTGGACACTTTACACTTTCTTGATAAATTTTAGCATCTTTAAAATTTAATTCACTTTTATATTGCTAATAATACCCTCTAGAATTGAGATGTTAAAATTTATTTGAAAAGTTATTTCCTACTTTGTCTATCCTATAATTTCTCACAGACTTTGCACACTTATTATTAGCTTTTTTCTTTCTTTTTTTTTATGGCATCAAAACAAATATAAAATGTGAAAATTCATTTCAACTTATCAGTTATCTTTTAATTATGGTATTTAAAAGGTGGAAATAGTTATTTTAATTTTAGGTATTTAAGCTATAAAATTATTACTACTTATTGATTAATCAAACCCTGTTTTGGGATATAGGAAGTAAAATATAAAATATATATATATATATATATATATATATATATATATATATATATATATAATTTGCATTAGGTATGATTGAGCATAAAGAGAGCTGTAAACATTTTTCACTAAAATGATGCTCAGTTGTCAAAATTTGTTCCAGTTTTTATTCCTTTAGGTTTTGGATTATTAAATATTGAAAACATCACAAGTGTAATGAACTGTATTTGATGAATACTTAATAAATTACATTTTTTATTCTAATTGTAGAAGTGATTGTAATTTTCTATTATTACTTCAGCTATTTATTTTTAATTGTTTTATTTTATTCTCTAGGCCTTCTCTGATTACCAGCTGCAGCAGATGACCACTAACTTCATTGATACTTTTGGATTCAATGAACATGAATTTGCTGATCATGAAGGCAAAATAGAGTAAGTAGCATAATTATCTAAGTATTAGAAAAGTTTAATATTTGTAGATATTTATCAAATTGAACTTTTCTTGTAAGCATTACTGTGTTATTGACTTTATTGTCAATAGTTGTCTTGTTTTTGATATTTCTTGTCACTTGTAGAGTTAAGATTTTATGCATATTTTTGTATCTTAAATTTCAAGAATAATTTAAATTGTTTTTCACATAAAATTTTTTATCTAAACTGCGTCTAGAGATTATATGCAAGTTATGAATTGGTATAAAGAGTTGCGTCTTTAATGTTAAAAGTCCTGTTATGATTTTGTTTAGATTCTACTCAATATTATTAACTTAGATATATAGTGATAGAGAAAACTATTGTTTTTGGTTGGAAAAAAAATTTACTAAGTTAACAAAACAGACTAATTTGACTGTCAGTAGTTTATTTGCAACTATTTATTTTGATACTTTTACATTATTATACCTTGTAAAACTAATGTAAAAAAATAATATGAAAAGATTTTAGAACAAATTCGTCAATTTCTTAACAGAAAAAGATAAAAAAAAAACATTTTATTTTAAAAATAAATTAACAAAAAATAAGAACCTCCTAAAATTCATTGCACAAATGCTCCTTTCTTTTCAATAACTCTTAGCAGCCTATTGTCAACATCTGATGTTAGATTTGCAATTTTAGCGGCTGGTAAGTTGTTTGCAGCAACTTTAACTGCCTCCCAGAGGTCACACTTGCTGTTGAATTGCCTTCCATTAGAATAAATAGGTTCTCAATGGGATTCGAGTCACAGCTATTTGAAGGCCAGTTCATAAGAGAATCTTCAACAAATCCCTTTTCTTTCAACCAGGATTTAGTAAACTTTGATGCATGACTTCGTGTGTTGTCTTGCATAAAGATCATAGATCAACATTTGGCTAAAGACTGGTTATCAAGCCATTCAAAGAAATATTGCTCTAGAAAATCACAGTAACTTTTGGAATTCATTTTAACCCCGTCTTTCAGTTTAAATGGACCCACGAGCTCATTACCAATAATCCCAGCCCATATCATTGTTGGCGTTTAAAAAATTTTCTTGAGTCATGTTGCTTGCAAACCCATCCTCGAGCCCATCCATCGGGCCCATTGAGGGTGATCCTTGATTCGTCTGTTAAAAGCACTTTACTGAAATCAGTTTTTATGTATTGTTTTGCCCACTGCAATCTTCTTTCCTTGTTTTTTGTTAAAATGGGTTTCTTTATTTGATCTTTTTACATCAGCAAACTTCCTTAATGCTTTACACCTTGTTTCCCTTGACACCATAGGAGCTCCAGCAGCCTCAAATATGAAGGCACTTGACACATTTGGGTTTCTTATTAATTCTCTTCGGATATGTGATAGATCTCACTTTGTTAAATTCCTGAATTCAGCCTGAGACTTTTTTCCTTGGTTGAATTCCCATTTGACATATTTTCAATGATCCCTTTTCAAATCCTTAGAAATTTGAAGCGAAGACTTTTCTTTGCTAATTTCTTTGATTATATAGTTCTTCTCATTCATTGTTAGTTCTTTTTTACGAGCCATAATACTAAATTCTAGTTCTTGCAAATAATCTCTTGACACTGCAAATTGCTATAATTACTGAAAAAATACTAAATATCAATCTGAAATTGAAAATTAGGACTTAATTGCTTTCATGCTCATACATAATAGTACAAATTATTTCATTGGATAACATATATCTATAAATTTTACATAAAATATTTGACAATACCTCTTTTGCATATAATCTCTAGACGCAGTTTATAATGTTTCACTTTTTTTCTTCTTTTTTTTTCTTTTTTTTTTCATAATTGTAGTGCAACCTTCACAGATAAGATCTCAAGTATTGATTTTAATATAAGGGCAGACGAAGATGGCGTAAGTAAATGATTTTTATTAAAAACTTAAGTCAGCATTTTTTTTTTTTTTTCCAGTATATCTTAAAAAAAAAAATCAAATGTTAATCAAAAATTTGTATTTTGATATATACAGGACTCAAGAATCCAGTCTGGTTCGTTACATTCACTTATGTGCAAATGCCTTAGGGAAGAGTATGAATCACCACCATCCCCATATTTACTATGGGTTAAATAATAGGATTTGTGTTGGGAAAAATTGTTATTCTCAAAATAATCAATGCAATATTCACTTGCAAAAAGATAATTATTTTGACTTTAAATAACTCACAAAGGATTGATTAAAAAAAATCATATCAAACAGGATTTAAAAAAAGAAAAGCCATTGATCCATTCATGAATAGTTATGAAAAATAGAAAGTGAGCATTAGATATTTCCCCTCTTAATAGCATTTTTTTCTCCAAATCTTTTCTTCCTCTCTCCCTTTTAGTATAAGCTTCTTCAAGTGCTTACTTAAGATTATTTCAAATGTAAAAATTTCGTTTTATGCCTATTTTTATTGTATAGTTTATATTGCTGCATAAATTATACCTTTAAGAAAAATACAGTTGAAATAAATCTACTTGTATTTAAATAATGCAGGAAAAATCTTCTATAAACTAGGTTCATTCTATTATTGTATTAAGCTGGCAAAAAATTACTGTTTGTCATTAGACAGTATGAAGATTGTCTTAGATTTAATTAATTTAGTTCAAAACTAGCATTTTTTTAATGTATTGTGATAGCTGTCATCAGTATGCCTTTATTTTTTTAACTTTGTCATAATATATTTATTTTATGAAAATAAACTTTTCATCATATAAATTTTCTAAGAAAAGTAAATTGCAACTCAACTGCAAAAACTGATCTGTTCAGTTATGGAGAGTGTATGGTAAATGATTAAAATAACCAAAAGTGGTTTGTAAAGTTTTGTGCTAGAGACTCCTCACCTGAATGATGCTCTACATCTATATTAGTTGATATTAATAGTAATTAAATGCAGACATTACTTGAGAGTAATCAGCATTAAACAAGAAAGAAATGGCCAAAATATTTAAATCAAACCTGGAAAAATAACTTGCCTCAGCTTTGTTGCTTGATGCTTTGAAATATAGCTTCCACATATGTTAAGCAAAAAGGAAAAGAAAAGCCTGGTAAAGTATGGAAAGTTGTATAGAACTGAATGATTTATTGAAACAAGTACTCTCCGAATTAAACAAATTGATAAAAAAGTAACCAGAATTAGTTCAGAAAAAATATTTCATCAGGTTAACATAATAACTGCATCTTTGGTGAACAAACAAAAACTGCTAATCATTACACAGAAAGTTCACCCATCTGCCATTTCCTCCAGATATTATACCTTTAGATTACCATTTATTCCAATCTTTGCAGAATTCTCTTAGTGAACAAACCCAAAAAAAAAAAAAAAAGAGAAAAATTAGCTCTCTGATTAATTCTCTAGTTCTTTGCTCAGGAAGTGGAAACACGGATAATTATATAATAATGAGATTTATTGAAAGATGGAACAAAATGGTAAATATCTTGTTTGGTATAGTCATAAAAAAAGTAAATGTTAAAGTTTTATGTATAAGCTTAAATATTTTTTTGAGAATATAAAATATTAAATTATAAAAAATAAAATGTTTATTATTATTATTATAAATCAAATACGTTTTTTTTTCTTTTTTTTTTCTTTTTTTCTTTTTTTTTTACTAGTTAGTAAAATGAACCTTTTTCAAAATGCATGTTTCTTCAGTAGCTTCAATATTGAATATTGTGATGTAAGTCCATTACTGCTAGTATTTGCTTTGCTCAATATTATAATATTGAATATTATAATTGTCATCTCGGCAAACTTTGAACTGATTAAATAATAAAATCACTTTCATTATATACACATGGACTCTTGTCCCTATCTTTGTTGTTTTTGTGCTTTCCGGCCTACATCAGGTGATTGTCAATCTGGGTAACCTTCAGGGAATTTCAAACTGAACCCTTTTAGTCTACAGGGGTAGATTGTTCTTGCTTCGCTGTCCATGTCTAATTAGGGATGAGACAATTAAATTAGGAATGGCTGATCACAGATTAAAGGAAAAGGGTAGTCCTCAACCCCTGTGAAATGAAGCATAAATACTGGAGAGTTAGATGTCTAGAAGAATCTGTACATATGGGCCTCTTTAGTAGGCCTAGCATAATTAATCACAATATAGAAGCTGCTGCTATTATTATTATAATAAAGCAAGCTGCAGTAAAAAGTGAAGCTTCAATGAGTGCAGTGATTGTGACTAGTAGCAGTAGAACTCATTAGCAGGCAGGTTAGGTTTAACCCTTTAGCATTCAATACACTCAAACCCATCCTGTAAATATCAGCTCTCAAAGTCTCACTGTTTGCATAATTTTCTGTGTTATTTGCAATAAAGTCATATTATGGCAGAGTATACATGAGGTGTGTTACAGTGGGTTGAATATTGAGAGCCAATATTTATGGTGGGGTGGGAGGTTGAATGCTAAGGAGTTAAGACTCAAAGTTCTCCACTTAGAATTCTAGTGGACTAAAGCATTGGTTTGTGAATTTAGTGATATAGTGGGGAAAATTGTGAAAATGGCCTACCTCGGAAACGCTGCGTTGAATCTGTGCAGTATGTAAACTCTGGTCCTTCCATCGGTAAAAAAAAACCAAAATGGCGGCGCCCACGTTTTTATGCCGGCGGTCTCGGTCAGTTAACGCGAAATCTCATTGCCTCGTGATTCGCATGCAAATCGTGGTCGATCCGCAGCTGTATAAAGCAGGCTTGTTTCTGCTGTTTAAAAGCAGAAGGCTTTAAAATCGTGAGAAGGTTGGACGTCGACACCGGTTTTCTTTGTGCCTACCTGCTATCATCAGTTGAATTGTTGAGTTACACACCACAAGCTATTTCGGCAATGGACAAGTTCGATCTAAAGTTGATCCCAGAATTGACGGCTCCCCCACGGGCCCGACTATCGTCGAATGGTTTGAAAAGGCGAAACGTGTTTGCAGGTGTCCAAAATAAAGGAACCTGCACTAGTCATCCCACTGAGACTCACGGGAGGAGCCTACGCAGTATATCAACAACTCGGGGATGATGCTGACCTAGAAGAGATCAAGGACGCCCTGTATACGGCCTTTGGAATAGATCCATTCATCGCTTGAAACAGTTAGTCGGACGACAGCTCGAGCCGCAGTGAGACCGTGGATGTTTACCTGGCTGATTTGCGAAAGCTGGCAGTACCGTTTGGCGGAGCAACGGACCGCATACTGGGGTGCGCCTTCCTGGCAGGGCTTCCTGACGACACCAGTCGGCTCCTCGCGAAGCGTCTTCAAGATTGGACACACTGGGAATTGACGAATTGCTAGCCAGGGCCCGAAACATCTTGAAGGACACGGAACAGATCGCGGCGGCCGTGAGAACGCCTGAGACACGAGGGAGGGCCCAAAGTGCTACAAGTGCGTGGACCCAACCATTTCTCTAGGGACTGCGGAGCCAAAGTGACGTGGGAGGGAGCAGCAGACGGAACCGAAAGACGACTACGCTGCTATCGCTGCAAAGAGTTAGGCCATGTAGCACAGGATTGTCGGGAAGCGAGTCCGAGGACAAGGTGCTGTCGCAACCCTTGCCCCTCTCGGTCAGTAAATGCGGCATTGCCTGTTGTCAACGTGTACGTTGAGGGTAAACGATGTTCGGGCGCCGTTGACACTGGATGTTCCCGATCGATCGTTAGTGCGGATCGATGCGTGACATGGAACAGTCAACAAATCGAGATTCGGACGATTGACGGAGTGTCCCGGCCTGTTGTGGTGTCGGGACTGTGTCAGTCCTAACAGACGGAGGGAGTCATGCCGGGTCGACGTCTTGGTAACGTCAAAGGCCCCTCGGTGCGACCTGCTACTTGGGATTGATGCGATTCGGCGTTAGGAGGCATGATGATCACGCCAGCGGAAATGTGGAACTGGGTGAAAGAAGAAAGGTGTGCAGCCCTTTGCGTTAGTGAGCCGGATTTCGACGTCTCCTTCAATTCCGACGAGAGAGTGTGGACCGCCAGGTGGAAATGGGCCCAAAAAGACCCGCCAGTTCAGCTTCGCAACAAGGTCGCTGAGTACAAAGTTCCAGACAGCATCAGAGGAAAATACGAGAAAGAGCTTCAGCAGTGGATTGTGAACGGCTGGCTGATTCCGTGCCCCAGGAAAGACTGGGACCCCCAAAGGGTCTGATTCCCTTGATGGCAGTCGCAGGAGCAGAAACAGAAGGTCCCGTACTGACACCGAATTGAACGACTTTGTGGATGCTTTCACTGCCGATGCAGAAGTGTGCGCATTAAGTTGAGAACGTGGCGGCGGCAGGGAGTCAATGTGTCGCTTCTGGATCTGCGGAACGATCTTCAGATTCACATCGACGAAGCGCTGTGGCCATTTCAAATGGTTATTTTCAAAGGCCAACGCTTCTGTCTTACGCTGCTAGGATTTGGGCTAAATGTAGCGCCACTCATCATGAAATCCGTTATAGACGCCATCGCATCGCAAGACCGCACAATTGAAAGTGCCACATCAGCATACGTTGATGATATCTTCATTAATGAAAGTTTGGCCTCTGCATCGCGTGTAAGACAACACTTTTGGATTACGGTTTGGTGTGCAAGGATCCGGTGCGACTGAGAGATGGAGCAAGAGTTCTTGGCTTGCAGGTCTGGGAAGAAAATGGCACCCTCCGATGGAAACGAGGAAGTCAAATTCGGAAGCCCCTGATGTGTTGACCCGGTAGGCGCGTGTTTTTCGTTGTGTGGAAACTTGTTGGACACTTCCCAGTGTGTGGATGGCTCAGGGTGGCAGTTGCATTAAGTCAAAAACGCCTGGCAACCGCAGCAACCAATGGATGGGATGATAACATCAAAGATCCCTCTCTCTATCGCATACTAGCAGAGATGTTAAGTAGAGTCGCGGAACTGGATCCCGTCGGAGGAGACTGGTGCATGAGTGGTGACGAGATCACAGTCTGGGTGGATCGCGAGTTCCGTGGCGACAGGAGTGGCATTGGAAGTAAACGGAAATGTCGCCGAAGATGCGTGCTGGCTGCGTCCGACTAATGATGCCAGGCACATTAATTTGGCTGAACTCGATGCGGCGCTTAAAGGAGTGAATCTGGCTCTCAGTGGGAGGCGACAACGTTGCGCTTGGTCACTGATTCGCGTGTGTGCACGGTGGATTTCAGACACCTTGACCGGGAAGGCACGGGTGAACACAAGGGCGGCTGGTGAGATGCTGGTCAGGCGACGGCTGGGCATTTTGCGATCGTTGGTGGAAGAATATGGATTGACCGTGACGTGACACTCGTGCAGTCCTGTCAGAACCGTGCAGATCGCCTCACCAGAGTACCGCACAGGTGGCTAGAACTGCTCAAGAGAGGAGAACCGCACTGAGAGCTGTGCAGTGGCAGGGAGACGACTGGATGAGGACCAGGTTGCCAATCGCGCATTGTCAATGCGGACATCCGGGCGTGAAACGAACTCTGTACTTTGCCAGGTTAGTCGACCCGCAGGTGTCCAGAGAAAGCGTTAAATCTGTTGTGAAGGCCTGCACAACCTGTCAGTCGATCGATCCGCACCTGTTCACTGGGAAAGAGGAGAACTGAGCGTGAAGAGCAACTGGAGCAGACTGGCAATGGACATAACTCACTACAATGGTGAGAATTTTTTAACACTCATTGATTGCGGTCCCTCCAGGTTTTGCGGTATGGCGGCGCTTCGCGCAGACAAGACGCGAGCACCGTCATTCGACTGTTGGAGAATGTTTTCCTGAGCGAGGCCCACCCATGGAAATACTGACGGATAACGATACTGCGTTCACCAGTAAAGATTTTAAAGAATTTGCGGACACTTGAACGCATCTGCGGTTTCGATGTGCCTACTCGCCAAGTGGAAACAGCATCGTGGAGCGGAACCACAGAACCATCAAGACCATCGCAGCCAGGAAGGGCTGTACAGTATCGGAAGCGGTTTACTGGTATAATGTCGCCCCGAAGATAACATTTCACCATCCACGGCGCCGGCTGATGCACTGCACAAATATCATGTCCGGCGTGAAAGGCGTCGAAGCCAACCCGCTGCCTGAACTAGAAGTGACTGGAGGAGATTGAAAAAAGGAGACATCGTTTGGGTCAAAAACCCACGGCAAGTGTATGACAAAATGGGCACTGGGCGTGTTACGGAGGTTATCAGCCGCAATCTGTGAGAGTTGATGGGGTGCCTCGTCACATTAAAGACTTGCGACCGGTGGCGCAATCACTACCGGTACCGGCGATGAAAGCGATTCCAAGTCTGGGAGTAGTGGCGTTCAATCTGCCTTGAGCTAGACCTGCAGGGCAGCGATTCTGATAACAGCAGCCTCCGGCTGACACAGTGTTTACCGACACTCAAACCACAGAGCGAGAACACGCCGAGGATGAAGCTTGTGTTATCCCCCTTCGGAGAGGGACTCGGCGGCGACGATCGCCACCTCCCTGCCCTGTTTGTGATCCTGAGATCAGGGGGGGAGTGTGGGGAAAATTGTGAAAATGGCCTACCTCGGAAACGCGTTCGAATCTGGCGGTATGTAAACTCTGGTCCTTCCATCGGTAAAAAAGAAAACCAAAATGGCGGCGCCCACGTTTTTATGCCGGCGGTCTCGGTCAGTTAACGCAAATCTCATTGCCTCGTGATTCGCATGCAAATCGTGGTCGATCCGCAGCTGTATAAAGCAGGCTTGTTTCTGCTGTTTAAAAGCAGAAGGCTTTCGTCTCGTGAGAAGGTTGGACGTGCGACACCGGTTTTCTTTGTGCCTACCTGCTATCATCAGTTGAATTGTTGAGTTACACACCACAAATTTTGAGTTCAATTCCTAGGGCGGGAAGTGTGTATCTGGATTTGGGGGAAAATGGGGTGAGCAATAAGTGTACAGTATTAAATAAGAACCAGACAAGATATCCCTGGTACAGCAGCCAAAACATTGTGATAACAACAAAAAAGACAATAGTCTGCATGTAGATAATAACTCCCAGAAATTCAGACAAAAATCATTTTCATGTGTGGTTTATTTGCATGCATGAAAATTAAAATACAGTGAACAATTTTTACGAAAAATGTTTTTTCTTTTTACCGTAATTTTAAAATTAACCTAAATTACTTTGTAAATCCTTTCCTTCTATTAATTGTGATGATAAAATTTCAATGGAGTTGTTTCACGTCTGGTTATTTAGTACTGGCAAACCAGATTTCAAAAGAAAAAAGACTGCTTCCTAAATATGCTTAACGAGTAAATAATCTTAAAACCTGTTGTTAATGGACATACCTACTTCTACTCTTATAGCTTATCTTAAATACTAGTAAATCATATAGTATGCTGGACTTGTTGAACCTTTAATAACAGGTATCAGCAGTAGAACTCATGATGAGATTTTTGTATGTGCATATCATAGAGGGCAGCACCTTACAATTTTGCAAGTGTTGATCCAAATACCAGAAATATGATTACTTATATTCATATTACATTTTTTCTTAAGAACACCACACACACACAGATGAAAAATTTAGAGAAAACTTGATACATAAATCATTTTTCATTCAATTTTTTAAAACTTTTGGAAATGGTTTTAAAAATTGTCCTTCAAATGCAAACAAATTTTTACTTTTCAAGTATAATTAAATTTATTTATTTCTTCAATATTTTTGTATCTATTTTGTATTTTTCAAGGTTCATATAAGGAGGAACAAAAAATTTTACATGTAAATTTCACACAAAAGTGGGGGGGAAAAAAACTCCCAAACTTGTATAAAAGTTAATTTTATCATCAAATTCTTTGCTATTAGATTGGAGAAAATTCTAATGCTTCATTTTTTGAGTAAACTTTATAGAATTGAAAATTTTTGGAAAAGACAGTGAGAGCTACTTGTGTTAAATAAAAAAGATTGTAAGAACTTGCATTACATTTTTTTTTTCCTAAGTGAAAGGCACTCAGATTTTAAAATTAACTACTTATTGGAGTTTAATAAAATTGTTGATATATATTTAATAAAGTACAAATTTTATTTAACAAAGTTTCCAAAGAAAAATTTCTCTCACTCTCTCCTCCTTCTGATGATTTATTTTACTGATACAGATGTGTCTTTAATGAGTTTTGAATTTTTATGCATTTTAAAGTCAATCCATGGCATAAATTATGTTTTCCACTTGAAAGAAATAATGAATGGTCTGTACAGATACCTTATTTTTGGAATTTAAAAAATGTAAAATATTGCTAAGTTTTATTTGCTTAATTATGCTTTAAGATTTATGATCTAAAAGGGGAAAAATATTCATACATACAATTTTTTTTTTAACACTGCTAACTGAGATTTTATACATCTCACAATGCTGACTAATTCAATATGGTAATATGATAAAAAACATTCTTCTGGGTATTTATAATATATAGTTAGTATTTATAGTAGATATAGCTAGTAGCTCTGCTATTCCCATTTTCATTGAAGTGAACTTTTGACTTTCTCTTATTTGACAAGACATCGAACAAAACCTGAATTATTTCCCTTTTCATCTTTAGTCTGTACAATTTTGTGTATAGCTATCAATACCAATCTCGTATCATCACCCAGTACCATGTGCTTACATTGAAGAATGACAATAAAACAACTCAGATTTTAAAAGGAAACAAAAAGAACTCTTAACTGTGATAAGTAGGACGTTTTTCTTTTTGCAGTCATATATTTGGGCTTTTTCTTTCAAGGACTTCCCAGAAAAATTATTCCAAAGAAATTTTAGTATCTCACAAAATACATGTCAAAAATTACTATTAAAAAAAAAAAAGGGTTGTTATATCTAAATATTAATCTTTATCACTCTGTATGTGACTTCATTTGCTGTATAAAAATTTTATCCTGTCACTAAACAATAGTGTGTCTGAATTTCATAGTTGAGTTGTCATATATTGCTATGGCAACTGAAAACAACATTGACTGAAATTAACAATAAGGATACTGCAATTGAGAGGTCTTGAAAAAAATGCAATGAAAAGGGAAGTAATATTAATGCATAATGCTAAAGGTTAAATTAATTGCAGTGTGATTTGTTACATTTTTGGCTGATTTTTATGTTTATATTGTTTGTTTGTGGTAAAATTTCAGTTTGATTCTTTTAAAAATGTTATAAATCCTAAACTCTCTATATTCATTTATTCTATAATAATGTTGAAACAGTTTTAATGCAGTGAATTTGCTGTTTTTCTTCCCATTCCTCAAATCATTCAGTTTTATTAAATGTTTTCAGGCTCCAAATGCTACTATGTTTGAACAAGCCTGTAATGAACGTATCCAACAATTTGATGACAATGATAGTGATGAAGAAATCTGGGAAAAGAAAGAGGTGATATTATATGAAAATTCCCCTGTACGGCAGCCTGGGTAAGATTTTTTTTTTTTTTGTTTTATACTAATAGAGAAAAATTTGAACATTGTACTGAATAATTTTCTTTTATATATTAATGAGTGGAGTTATTCTCATTTTTTGTCAGTAATGTAAGAAGCAAAAGCAGATTCAAAATTTAGATTGGTATCAGATATCAATCTAAAAATGTTAATATTTGAAGTCATTTACCTTCCACCTACCATCCTGACATTGAGATGTTGGAAAAAGAGCAGGACTTAGTTGATTGTTGATCTCCTGCCAGTGCTTTTAGTGTTTGTTTTTGTGGTGGAAGTTACTGAACTCATACACAATTCTACACTTTTTGTGTCTGAGTTTTTAATCCTTTAAATCACTAAAATTCTAATTCTTAGTTTAATGTGCAAAAAAGAAAGTTAAAATTATTGTTGTTCTCTCATATCATTTGTATGAGGGAAATTATAAATCCTACACATTGGTATCTCTAATATTTCAGTAATTTTGGGGGCCCAAATTAGGTTATGATCGTGGCTAACAATTTCAGCTGATACTATTGAATATGACAGGAACTTTTCACTTAATCTGTGCATTGTATACTCATAAATTTCTGTTTGAATTTTCTTGTTCAGGAACAAGAAGTTCATATTAACTAATTTGTCTCAGGTCATTGAACCATGAGAATGGAAAGTGGAATTTTCAAGAGTTAAACTTAAATTCCACACTTTCCATTGTCATGGCTCAATGACCTGAAACAAATTAAAAAAATAAGCACAAAAAGGATACTCTTTCTAGCTACAGTCATAAAAAAAAACACTTGGATTTTGGGAAGTGGGTGAAGCTGGTAACTTTTCTGTTCCCCATTATACATTTTAGTTGGGGAATGCAATTATAGATGCTTGCCAAAATATTAGCTTATACCCTAGACTTTTTCAAATATCTCCTTTCTTAAAGGAAATAGTCCTTTCCCAAGCTAACATACATGACCATAAATAAATAAAAAAAGTTTTTTAAAAATAAAAAATATTAAAAGAAAACTTAACTCGAGACCTTTAAATAGTTAAAATAAATCAAAATAAATAAATAAATCAAAATTCAACAACATTTACTCACTTTTGTTTATTAGGCAATAAATTGTATCACTTAATGCCCTCCGTAGTGTACCTTTCCTTACACAGTCGGCTTTAAGAATATTTTAGGTTATGCATATATAGTTTAATGGTTGAGAAATAAATGTGATAATTCAGAATTGAATTTTTCAATTTTGTACCTTTTTTAAAGATTTATGCAAATTTGCTATTCAATTTGTGATCCATTGAAAATAAGGGACAATGAGACTGTATGTGATTGTGAATTTATAGAAGTGTTATGGTCATGAGTAATCTTTTTCATGCCTTTTAAGAAAGGAAGCTTCACATTTAATTTTCTATCAAATGGTAAAAATATATGCTTAAAATATAAAAGTTATAGACCAGGTCACTCGTAATATTTTGTTCATATCAGTATACACAAAAATATTCAATTTTTTCTTTACTAAGATCCAAATTCTTAGAATGGAGAAAAGGCATGCCTTAAAATAGTTTAAAAACAAATCTGTCCATTTACCTCTATATTAAAAAGTATATCCTTGTATACTAATGATTTACTTTTTAATATATAGTGCTAAATGTACAAATCTACTTAAGTTTAACTGATAAGAATTAAAGCTTAACAATTGCAAATATTTTATATGTTGTTAATGTCAGAATTTATGTCATTTGTTATGTAAATAATATATTTAGTTCTAATATTGTTATTGTCTTTCATTTCTAGTTTGTCCGGTGACAGCTTAGGTTCTCATGATCATGAAGAGGAAGATGATAATACAGACAGTGATGAAGAATTAGATTCTCCAAAACGTATAGTACAACAGCCTCAAGAAAAAATGGATGTGGATGGTACAGAGAGTAAGTATGATCTAATTACTAGAAAGTAAATATATAATTATTTCCATTTATATTCATTGTATATTATTAGGTAGTCAGAAGTAATTTCAGTTTTGAGGAACCAAGTGTAATATTTTGAAGAATAAAAGTCTATGAAATAAATTAAACTTGTTTAATTAGACTTGGGAATTATAGTTTTCAAGCACCAAATCAGAAACGGTTTCTTACAGATTCATTTTTGTTGTTTCACATGTTCAATTAATGCTTATTTCTTAACATATTAGTTAGCATTGAGGTAATGGTATCTCCTCTGAAGTCTTCTAAAGTTTTTTTTAAAAATGGGTGATGTAGGCGAGGTCTGCATATAAATATTAATTTATATACAGTATTGTGGTAAAAGTAAGCAAGAAGCAAATTTATCTAACATGGCAATGAAACATAACAATTGAAGGCACTTTACAGCTACACTGGGTTTGGAAAAGAGAAATTTTCATGCACTGACTTTCAAGTGTTTCAGAGAACATTCAGCATCAGACACTGGACAGTATAATATTTAAGCATCCATCTACAGACAATATTATACTTAAATATTATGCTATTATTTCTTGTATAGTATGTTAAATTTCATATATAGTTTCCCAGTTTTGACTATAAATCTTATTGCTAACATTCTCAGGATAAGTTTAAGTCAGTAGAAAAATTTTAATTAATTTCTAGTTTGGGATTTTCTTGATAATTTACTCAGTTCAGTCATATCTACCATTTGATATGTCTAAATATATTTTTAACTACTGACTTCTGAATAGTCTCTCTCCTACTCTCATTTCATTCAATTATAGTTTGTATTACATCTTGTTTGATGGGGCTCATTTAGTTCAACAGTCCATTTACAGCTTTACTTGCTATGACTTATGTTTAGTCAACATTACCATTTATAAAATTTGAATATGAACCAATGCAGAATGCCTATCTTATAAATCACTAGAGATTTTAAAAACAATTATTTTTTTTATTATTATTTATCTTCATTTCTAGACATGTTAAGGGAACTTGAAAATGTATATGATTGTGAATTTATAGAAGTGTTTTGGTCATGACTAAACTTTTTCATTCCTTTCAAGAAAGGAAGCTTCAATTTGGATTTTAGTAATGAAAGAATTGAATATTTTTGTGTATACTGAAATGAACAAAGGAAAAAAATGCTTTTTTTTTTTTATGAACTTATTCATTTTGTTTATTAACAAATTATTTTGCACTAAACTGGAAAGTTTTAATTCATTTATTTCTAAATGATTTAAAGACTGTTTTTAATAGGGATTTTTCGTTTTCAATTAAAGGATTAGGTTTTGAAGTGAATTTTCATTGACATGTAACTTTTATTCATAATAGGTAAGTTTTAGGTTCTAGATTGGTGACATTAAAATAGCAGTTAGATAGAAAACTCTTGTACAGTTACCAAGATTAAATTTTATCACTGTCAGGACCAGAATTTTTAACATTATGGATGACTTTTGTGTTTCATAGCTTGGACAGCAACCTTTGATGAAGTTCCTATTGAAACCAATCCAGTTGCAATGGAAACGTCTCCTTGGGATACAGCCCCAGTAACAACTGCATCTCCTGAACAGAAATGGGCAAACTTTGAAATGTCTGGGAATACTTGGGCAGACTTTTCTAGTTTTAACTCTTCTATGGAAAGGTAATGTGTAAATACTTATAAATTCTCATTTCATTCTAATACATTTGATCCTAATATATTAACTTATGACTTGTCTACCAATCTTGTATTGTACAGCAAATGATGTATGTAAGGTAGATTGTGCCAATTAAGATTATAGAAGCATCACAGAATCCATTGATCATTTAGTAGAAAAATATTGGATAAAATAAATACAAATTGAAGGAGTAGAAAAATAAATAAAACATTTTTTTCACCGTTTCTCTCTGCCTCCATTTGCCCCCACTCTTATGTCTGCACTTTGGGCAAGGTTAAGGATAACTTGATTGAGTAAATTGAAGTTACCAAAATTTAAAAATTCATGTTGGAAACTGATCAATAATGGGAATCAACTAAAACAGATGATTGCTATTTCTCTTCACAAAAATACCTTTGATATTCTAGTATATTTCATAGACATTGATTCAAAACTGTATTCTTTGTTATTTTTCTTTCTGTATATCTACTTAAATTTAAACAAAGTATCTGACAGAAATAATTACAGTGATTATTTTGATGTGTGTGTTTGAAAATTGTCATTTCTAAAATTCAAAAAAAATTTTTTTTTATTTTTTAATATATAGGCTTCCCCGTAGCAGTTCACCTGTAGCTATGGAAACTGGTGATATTTCAAGTTCAAATTTTGGTTCTAGTGGTATGTTGATATACTTTGTATAAACAATAAGCAATTATTGTTTGTTTAGGATATATATAAAAATATACAATTGTTTGTCTTTGTGCACTTCCATAAAAATAGGTGAAAACAAATTGTTTTAATGTTATAAGAAAATGTCTTTCTCTCTCCCAAGGTGATGGTTCTCAGTCAAGCCCTCTTAACAGGACAGGTGAAACTGCTGGAAAGAAAGAGGTTGAGAAAAGTACTAAAGACTCCAAATCAAAAGATATATCTTGGAGGTAAGATTTAACAATTCAATTTGCATTCAAATCTTGGACACTTTTTGTGAAAGCATAAAAGCTATTTAATTTTGCTACTACAGCAGAATATCAGGCTAACTTTTGGTTTTTAATTTTGTTAAAATAATCAAATTTGTCTTTTGCTGCAAAATATAGGTTATAAAATAAAAATGAAATTACTTCAGTTAGAAATATTTTATATCAGTTTGAATCGAGATTTGTTTAAACTGAGATAAACTTTTGAAAAATTGTGCCAAAATATTTAAACTGTTCTATTATTCTTGTTAATTTTGTTGGATTTTAATACTTTTCCTTTTTTAGCCATGAGGATTCTAAAGAAGTTAGCACAAAAGAAACTGCTGATCAGCCCAGTAATTTACCAGAATCTGGTGAGCAGAATTCTACAGATGCTAAACTTGAAAATTGTAAAACACAAGACCAAGTAAACTGCCTACCCAAGGGCTATAGGTATGTTTCATTATTTATCTTCTGTTTAATTGTTGTTTTTGGAAAATGTTATCTATTTTGTGAATTAACTTTCTCTACTAATCTTTTAATTGAATATCTCTGAGCTTAGTGTAGTAGTGTAGATTAATAAATCTTACATTAAAAGTTCATTTCAATAATGACAAAGTTGTAGAGAGATTGTTCTACAAAATGGTATTTCAATGATTTGGTTTTTGCTTAATATCTCTTGAAACCCACAAATACACACTTTAACTTATTTATATTCTTATATTGAACTAATCTCTTATAATTATTCTATCAAGTTACTCTTTTCATAAACTCCTCTATAGTAACTAAACCCTGTAATAAACAATTTAATGCATATTGTGAAGGAGATATTCTTGTCAGATTATTATAGCCATTTATTTATTTTTATAATATTGTTGGGTGTTGAATTTTAACAACTGAATATGTATAGGACCTAAACTTTGGAACATTTCCCCCTCACTCCCTTAAAATATCTTTTATTCTTTTAAACAGATATTTCCTTTCTCATTTTTATTTATGTATAATTTATTCATCTTTTATTTAAAATTTCATTTTCTTAGATAGTTTTATCATTGCTTGACTTGTCCTCTCATTATTTTTTATCTGGCAGTTATTTCTATATATTTTCCTCGTCGATCATTTTGATTCTTTCTCAGATTTGACTTTAGTCTCAAAAGTTTTGACACTTGATATGCTAATTTATTTTAATATATTCAACATTTCTTAAGCATTGTTTAGGTTTTTAAAGACCCTATATTTGAAAATCTTCAAAGTACTAATGTGAAATTTTAACAAAATTTTGATAATCTATCATAAAATATAGAACTCGGTTAAAAAAAAATAATATTCAAAATACTTTCAAAGATGGTGATTAGGCTAAAATTTAAGAGTTTTGGAACAAGTTAAACAAAATGTCTTTGAAACAAAAAAATTAAGTTTTTTTTCCTGTTAGATATAAAACTTGATTTAATTGTTTTTTATATAATCTTTTTTTTCTTTTTAATTGCTTCTTACATAAGGATTTTTTTCTTTCAATCCAGTCATTTGTTGGTCAATTTAATTTGTTCATCTAAATGAATGTATTATAACAGTTATTCTTCCTTTCCTGTGTAAAGGTTACATTCTGAGCATGAAGATCATGTCAATGAAGAAGAACTGAATGAAAATTTTAAGTGAGTTTGATGTCTTATAAATATATTACTTGAAGCACATGTTACTGCATAGTGTTGCTTTTGTTATGCACTGTAAAAATACTAATGAGTTGACATATTATAGTGCTTATTTTTCTTCACATGGCATACTTTGCTCAAATGTATTTAACCAAAGAAATATTAAGTTTAAAGCATTATCTCAGTTAATTGTTTTTACCTTTCTAGTAGAACAATTTACATAGTCATCCACTGTTTGTACTTCAGATGTTTGTGTGCTTAAATTTAGAAATAATTTATTCTTTAGTAAACCTGAAATTGCTCCTGCTATTTTCATATGCAGTCCATTATTCATTAATATGTTAGAATGTAAATTAGAATATTGTAAATATATTTCATATATGAGAAAATGAAAAAAGTTTTTGTGTGATGCATTTCATCCTTTAGAACTTCATCGGACTATACATACATGTGAGGAGAGTGGACGCTGAGAATTCTAACTTTTTATTTATTTTATATTTATGTGTGCAGAATATTGCCATTGACAAATTAGAAGATTGAACTTTAAGTAAAAAAACAAAAACATTCATTTCTCTTTATGTGCTTATTTTAATATTTGAAGTCAAACCTAAATGACGAAAATATTAGTAAGATAAGACTATGCATTTCTCTTTTTATAGTTGCTTTTCCAAACTAAAACTACAATCTTTTTCCATTTATATTTGCTTACTTCAAGTTGCAAATTGGTACGAAAGAATGGTGAACATCAACTTGTCTATGGACAAGTTGACGCTTTTTTGGGGGGGTTGCAGGGTTACCTTTATTTATTTTTTTAAACAGTAGGTGTCAGCTCTTTTGTTTTGTTCCTGTCAATCCTAAAAATAATAACCCCTTCAAATAAACTAAAATTGACATGTAGCACCTTTTTAGAAAATAAAAAAAAGATGTATATAGTTATTTTTGTATAAATTTAGAATTTTTTAATACATTTTTAATTTTTATATTTTTCTTATTTTCATCCCATTTTTCTGGAAAAAAAAAACTTTATATACAAAATGTTGATCAATAAAAATTTTTGTTTAATTTTAAGGCTTTCAGTTAATAAAACCTCATTCTGTTTTTCTGAATTTGTTCCAAAGCACTATCGGATAAATAAATTCAAAACCCCAGCAATTTTCTCAATGGAAATTTTCTGCCTAGCAATTTTTCATGCACAATATATATACAGTTGTGGACAGAATTATTCACACCCCCACTTCCATAATTACAAATAAAGCTGGAAATGGAAACTTCATGCAAATTTTTTTTCACAAATGATGAAATAATGGATTTGAAAGAATGTACAACAAAATTTTTATTTTAATTAATTATTATCAATTATACAAAAAAACATTTAACATAGGGCAAAGTTATTGGCCCTCCTGCCTCAATAATCAATTGTGTAACCTTTATTCTTGATTATTATTGCCTTTTAATCATTTTTGATAGTTCCTTACAAGATCACTACACACACTTATAATTATTTCACTCCATTCTTTATTGGCCATAGCTTCTAGTTCCTCCAAATTCGAAGGACTTTTTTCTCTTACTTTTTTCTTCAAATATGCCCATAAATTTTCAATGTGCTTTAGGTCAGGACATTGTGGGGGTATGGCAGTACCTTAATTTTGCTGTCAACTAAGTATTTTGTAACAATTTGTACTGTGTTTCAGGTCATTGTCATGTTGGAACATGACAAGTGCTTTCATGCACTTTGTTTTATATTATTTTTAAGAATATTCAAACACTGCTCTTTATCCATGATACCTTGTACTCTCACTAGTTCTCCTGGTCCAGAAGCAGCAAAACATTCCCAGAGTGGAATGCTCCTATCACCATGCTTTAATTTTAGGGAGGGTATTTTTTAGTTTGTGAGCTTCATTCACTTTACTCCATACATAATGGGAATTCATGTGACCAAATAATTAGTGTGGTTTCATTTGACCCTAAAACAGAGTTCCAATTTTTAATCCCATCTTCTAGATGGCTTCTTGCATAAGCTAATCTACATTTTAAGTGTTAAGCTTTAATCAAGGGAGTTTTCCTTGGGTGACAAGCTCGAGGTCCTGACTCTATGAATGCATCTAGTGACTGTCTTTGTTGATACATTCAACCCTGATGTCTTTACATCATTGTCAATGTCTTTTGTTGTTAAGTGACAATTCTTTGAGACATTGCTAACAGTTTTCCTTTCTATTCTCTCAGAAATGAACTGTTTTCTGCCAGTCCTTATTCTCCAAAAAATGAGTTTCGTACTTCTTGATAATGCTACAAATTGTCAATCTAGGAACTTTTAAATGCTTGGAAAGTATTGTATGTCTATCACCTTGTTTGTATGCATCAACTATCTTCATTCAGAGCTGCTTGTCAAGTTCCATCTTCACTGTGGTTGCAGAATGAATGAGTTATCACAGTACAGGACACTCACATTCTCTTCATTACCTTTTAAAATGTTATAGAATCAGGTCAATATTATTTAATTTTCAAAGGCTGTTTGTATTGAATGTCAAATTAAGAAAAAAACACATTACAATTGCCATAGAGCAATATTATTTCATAGTCTCCATGGGAGTGGGGGGGAATAATTTTGGACTGCACCAATTTTTAGAAAAATCTATAACTATCACTATAATAGATCGAAATTTAAAAAAAATTTCTCTGTTTATTCAAAACTAAATACAGAATCAACTATTTATGGTGAATTCAGTAAGTACTTATAAATATTTGCACTTCCTTCGAAAATATGCAAATATTTGGCAGGGGTTACATAATTCTGTCCACAATTGTATACATATGATAGAAATATAGTTTTAAGGTATGTTATTTATTGGTCAAAGTGCTCAATATCAGGGATAGAGTATGTGTAAATATAAAAGTGGACGTTGAGATCAACATCCAACTGTGACAGTTTGTTTCATGCTTAAACACAATCATCAGGCCTGAAGATTGCATTTAAGCATGAAACAGACAGTTGATGTAAGAAGAGTGAAATGTTGTAAGAACATGGATGTAAATTTACTGTGGATGGTCTAGTGATTAAAGCACTTTCTATGCATTTTCATCTTAGCAAATTACTTTCTCTTTTAATTATAGTCAGTCAGTTAACTGCCATACATGATGCATGGTTGGGCAATCAAGCATCTTTTAATACATGACTGATGATGCAGTTTTTTTCTTGCAGTAGGTTGCTATTTCTTTGTGGTAGAGTGGCTGCCAACCAAGGCTAAAGAACCCAGTCTGTCCTGCTATTCAACCCATAGCTGGAGGGAAAGAGATGGATTCATACTTTTCCCAAGGGTATTTGTGCATAAGTAGCATTTTTTTTTATCAAAATTATGGTCACTGATGATTAGCAAGTAATGCATTGAGTATGTTGTTTCGCAAAAGATCTTTTTTTGTGTTGATTTCTCCTATGTATACTTTGTGATTAAATTCCTCCAAGTTTTAGCTCATTATTTCATTTTGTATTAACGCTCTTATTGTTTTAGTAGTAGTTATAACAAATTTTATGTTAAGCTTAAATTCTTTTCAATTGTAGTTTTGGTATAGTTGGTAGATAGAACAATATATTTTGATTCTTTGGGTTTATCAGGAAGGTTTGCTTTTTCTATTTTGAAATATTTTATGGGACTTTTATTTCATGTTGAATATGTAATAATTAAGGTATTGGAAGAGCTTAAAATTATTTTCAGTGTATTTCTCCTCTTTATGTAAATATTGGGTGCTACAAATATTATTCCAGATTTTATTTTGTTATAGTGAGAATAGAAATTTATGAGATCATTTTTATTAGATGATTTGTGATGGACACTTAGTTTTTAGGCTATTGTTACTGTGGTGTAATGCAATATCTAAAGAAGATAAAATATTGTTAGTTCTCATTTCATAAGTAAACTCTACTGTATGTTTGACTTTGTTTCATTTGTCTACAAGTAATTTAAATAAGTGTATATGAAAACAGATCTTTTACAAAACAACATACTCAATGCATTAGTTGCTCACCGTAAAGAGTCTGACCATAATTTTGCTGTAAAAAATGCTGCTCTAATTAAAAAGAAAGCAATTTACTAAGACAAAAATGTATAGAAAGTGCTTTAATTGCTAGATCATCCACATTGTTTCTGTCCAGGTTCTTAAATTTCACCATTCTTGGCAGATCTATTATCATAATGTGGGATATTTAATGGAAACGAGCAAAAAGAAAGAAAAAAAACTAAATGAAATTGGCAAGACTATATACCGAAAACATTTCCTTTATGTGCATGTGTAGCTGAATGAACATAAACATCACTTGAGTCCGATGAAAACCTAAAGGGCAAAATATGTCATTAAAAAACCTCTCTCTCTCTCTCCCCCCAAAAAAAGGAAAAATTGTTCTTGATATATAAAAATTTATATAACATTTCTGCACATTTAGTGTAAAAGTAATTTGGTTTTAATTTAACTTTTTCTTTTGTTGTGTAGATAGTTTTTGATTTTTGCTTAGTGTGGACACTATGAATTCTTCATATTTCTATTTCACAAATTTGTCTCTGACCCATAATTATATAATCCCCCCCCCCCAGTCTTTTGTACAGGAATAGAGGTTTGTCCCTTGTTTCCTGTTTAGAATTGGGTTTCCAGTTCCTTCTAAAGTCTTTCATTCTCTCTCGCTCCTAGTAGCTCCTTGCATCTTAGTGTCATTGTTGCCTTGCTTGGGTTGAATTGATTTTTTTTTTTTTTTTTTTATCACAATTTTAATGTAGCAAATAGTATAACTTAAAAAAGTAATTTCCTTCATTGTGTACTTTTATTTTTTATTTTTAATTAAAGAGTTCTAGAAGTTTTATTCAGAAAAAAAACATCAGTTTTATTTGTTAAGCAAAATTAGTCATGTGAACTGAGTACATTTTCTTTGTTCACTTCTTTCCCTGATTTAATATTACCATTTCATAAAATAATTAAAAAAAATTTAAATCTAGGAATTTCCTCTATAAATATATGAA